GATATAGATACGATTTATCACAAATATTTGTAGAAATAATATCTGACACCTCTGACAGATATTTGTACCGCACTGCGACGAACAGCAGGCCGAAGTCAGCAATACACGCTAGCTTGTTTGAAATTAACTACTTGTGGTAAAATGGGGGCACGTAACGAAAAAATTAAAAACCTATGGAAAAAACTAAAAAATTGCATAAAGGAATTGATCAATGTTAAGAAAAGACCTGACGACACTTGACGTGCTTATAACGACGGGCTCCTGCTGCATTGATTGGAGCAAGTAACTCTTTATTCCAAGGTCTTGAAGATGTTTAATTAAACGTTTTGGAACCATCCCCGTGACTGATATTATTATTATTTTACTTTTTTTTACCTTTTACCTTGATTAATTTTAAGTTTGACGGGAGGAAAGGAAAAATGTTGAAGTTGTAATATCTGAAAACTATCGATCACATTTGTAACAGGATGACAGACTAAATTCTTGCTCGAAATTCTCAGAGAATGTAACAACCTGTACGAGTACGATTGAGAGAAAATCGTATAGGTACATTTTTAAGGACACCAGTTACACTGTGCTGAGAAAAATTAATTTGAAGGCTTTTGTATTGCAAAGATCTGACGTCAAAAGTAAAAACGCCATACCTCCATTCAACATTACTCCAATTTTTTTTTCACATAAAAGTGCTATTTTATGAGAAAACTAACAAATATTTTATTATTATATTAACTAATATTAACTTCATTCAATTCCTAATATTAACTTCATTTTTTTCGAGTCGATCCAGACATACCACGCACGCAAGTCAAAATGAAAAAAGGAAGTACTGTGGCGATTGGATTTTTTTACGGTGGAGCAGTATGTTTCGGAAAGACATACGAAATTTGGAATGGAGTTACGGAATTTTTCCTGTGGACGGCAGAGGTGCTATGCTTTGCTCGTGTTTCTGAACTCGAGTCTCTGACACATCGCAATCATGCGGGGTGAAACTGCTGCTAATGGCCATCATTAGGCAACCTATTACGCTGCGTGGTTATGGATCACTTTGCCTGTCTATGTGCAAGTATACTGCAAGTGAAAGGATTAAAGATGGCATTCCCATATCCCATACTGTGACTAGCTTTATTCCAGGAAACACGCATTGGGCTTCCTTTTGGACTCCTTAGGTCTAGGATCTACGGATAAACCCATTTGTATATTCACGCAGTAAACCCACCCTGGTAAAAATTAGCGATAAGAGCTACGTTTCAAAATACCATAGGAATTCTCATAGCCGGCTAAAGAAGGCTACAGAAAATCATATAGCTGGCTGTAGAATGCGGAGAAAATCACACGGCCGGGCTATACGAAGCGATAAAAAATTATGCAGCCGGGCTTCCTATCGCCGGGCTTTACACTTTATCGCCTCATGGCTGTTGCTTTTTCGCCATCGATTATAAAAGGCTATAAAAAATTGTGTAGAAATTCGTGTGCTTTGGAAATCATTAAGTTTGATACGGAACCACCTTAATATTTACAAAACACACATTATATTTTCCTTTAATACATATTTTTTTTCATCAATTAAAACGAGAATAATCCATACAGGATGTGCAAACATTTCAAAATCATGAGTTGAATAACGCTGACTCCGCCAGATTAAATATTAGAGCCTAACACAAAGCGGAGCGGCGACACACTGGCGCCTACAAACCTGACAGGGATACTTCACGCATTGCGCAACGCGTGAAGTATCCCTGTTAGGTTTGTAGGCGCCAATGCGTGTTTCGTGCTGGCTGCCCGCATGCCACAGCGCTTGAAGCAACTATTTCACACCAGAGGTATTGCACAGTATCATACGAAACTGAAGGCGCTCTAATATATTAGTAATTGCAGGCATCCATCAAAAGTACGGAGCTTTCCTCGCAAAATAAATCAAGATACTACGGCCCAAAAAGATGAGGGCAGTATTCCAAAAACTCACTAAGTCCTAGCATCCGTAATTAGTAACGTTTAGCAAACACTTTATCGCCTGGCTGTTGCTTAATCGCCATCGGCTATAAAAGGCTATGAGAAATTGTGTAGCCGGCTATAGAAGCTATTGGAAATCTTACAGCCGGCTGTAGGTCTATGGTATTTTGGAACACAGATTCTACTGCCAATTATACAACCAGGGCAGTTATTTTTGTGTAGTTCAATTTCGAACGTCGCTATGAAATGGGATCATTTTTTTAAGTATAGCACATGTCTACTCCGAACAAAAATTGCTTAGATTTTATATAACAAATCCTTATTATTGTTATTTACACAAAAGAAAAAAATGAAATAAAAGGAATACATCGACGATTAAAGTGCGAAACCTAGTATCTCCGTTTGTGTTGTCGCAGACTTGTTGTCCTACTTTATTCTTCTCTTTGGAAAACACTCAACGTACACTTTTTTGATGTTCCTGCTCTGTTAAAAGATGCTGTAAAGATGGTTGGTTTTTTCTTAGACAAAATGACATTTTAGCGAACATTTTGAAACTCCGCAATGAAGATGCGTGGTTTCGTACTTTGAACATCGATATAGCCCTTATCTACACTCTCTACATTATTTTTATTTTATGCAGGAGTAAAATTGAGCATTATTCTCCCAAAACACTCCATTGTTAGCCGTTGTACCGGCTGTTTTTATAGGTATTTCAAGTTTTTTGGCATTAAAATGGGCGCATTTTTCTTTTTATGCAAGAAAGACACTCATGTATGCATGGTAAATTATCCTAATTCAATGAAATTGGAAATAAAATAATGATCTCTGTACATTCGTGCAGTGATTTATTATACCAAATGTAACCCCCCCCCCCCCCCCCCCCGCCGGAGAAAATGGTGGAAGAAGGATGGAACGGATGTAAGGAAGAGAGGAGAAGGAAAGAGCGTAGGAAAGGAGGAGAGGAGAAGGAAGGACGCTCAGATTAAGTAATTATTTACGACGAAATTGCATTTTTGCAATAAGTATATATTCAAACTGCATATTATTAGATTTAAAATGTCGAAAATTTTCCGCGGGGAGCCCCCCATGGCCCCTGGCACCCGTCCTGCTCGAATTGTCTGGAAAATTTTGTAAATTTACAAGGAAAATCTTGTTTATTTATCGGGAAAATCTTTCACTCAAATCTTGAAAGATATCCTGGCATTTAATTTCAAATTTCCCTCGTGAATCTGTTGACATCGATGATGACCAGTGCGGCGGTATGTTGTACGGTGCAAAGTCGGCAGGTACTTGCATTTTGCTCGCTTGCAGTTTACCGCGAACCGGAAGCGAACAAGGCAAGGCAAGTCATTGTTTATATCCAACATTACGTCATACAAAGACTGTGTCGTTGCCCGCCTGCATTGTTGCTGGCCGTCCAACAGACTTTTCACTCAAATTACGTCACGACTTATTATCAACGCATTTACTTGCGCTTATGCAGTTTTGAATCAGCCTTTCTGGCGAATTTGATTTGTCGCCTGGAAATTGTCGAATTGTCAAGTCAAATGGCGATAATTTGCCACAGTATTCGGTTAGTGTTTTTAGATTAGTTCTACTTATTCGTTTTCAATGAGCAAATTCCTCCGTTAGTGGCGTCCTTATCACACTTCAATTTGAAAATGGTTCACGGTAAGTCGTTACTTTTATCTCAGCCAGCCCTTCCATTTATTTGCGTTTGAATCCTGTTGCTCGGCAAACCCCTTTGTTGTTGATAAACATGCAACAAAATTCCTTTGAATCTCTTTAACCTTTCTACAGCAGGTCCTTTTTAACTACATTTAATCCTCATATCTGTATTGTAGACGAGAGGTCAATTCAGTGAAATTCGTTTGTCTCTGGAAGGCTCATCATCCCCAGGATGTGATGCTCCAATTATCAATGCAAATCCATATTCATATCTCATATGCACTCAGCAACTTTTGCTACTCATCCTCAACCCAAGCGCAAGTGATTTTCATCATCCATTGTGTTCTTAGTGTTTGATTATCTGTATGGATGAAGGTAGTGTGTCTAAATAGCAGTTGTTGTCTTTTCTGGGCTTCCGTCCTAGTTGGTTAATTATTTATGTATAGTCCAACACCAATTCCCCAGACACTCAACATGTTTGATTCCACAACTGAGCAAATTTTTAGTGTTGTCTCCTAATTGTAGATCTATTTGGGTTCCATTGCGTTAATAGACGCCTTATTTCCTTCTCATCGTCTACAGGCAAGGTGACAAAATGATAGCAAGACTTCAGAGTGATAACGTCTCACCAAGAGGTACCTATAAGATGCCACGCAATACCATTTCCAATTTCCAGAAACACGTAGTTTTACACTCTCAAAGTCAACGTCCCATTTTAGCTTATCTATTGATTCTGTGCGTAGGCAAGAGGAATGTTCGGCTGAATTATGAATAACTCTTTCTGCCAAGTTCAAAACCAATCATTCTGCCCTACGCACTGTATTGGAGTATTTTCTTGCTTATCGTATTTTTCTTCATTTCTAGTCATTACTTCCTAGGAATAGAAACCTTGGTGTATGCACCTACTTACTTAGTTGATTTTCTCCAGCAGATCATTGGGTCACATTAAGTAATTCTCTTGCTTCTGTCGCGGATAGAGAACCTAATTGGATTTATCTACTTTGTCGCTTTATTCATTCTATTTTGTTTTGTTTTCTCTAAATTACTCACGGTTCATGTACGTACTGCCATTGAAACTTAGTGTCTATCAACTCAATAATAAGTAATTGCTCATCACTAAAAATCTGAGGACACTATTCAAGGACAAAAAGAGGACCTCCCTAAATGAAACCTCTTAATTTATCTAATAGTCTCAGTTTTGTCGGCTGATGCATAACCAAAATCAGGAGATTGTCTCTCCTGTTCCTATGTTCTCATTAATTAGCTATGATTGGATAGGGAGCAGCTCTCGTTATCCAAGAAATATCAAAAATATCTGGAATGAGCTCAGAGAGGATTCGATTCACTGTTTTTTATTGATTATTAATATTATTATTTTTCAGGGCTGTCTACAACGCCTAACCCCACCTGGAGGCTTCGAAGCAATGGCCACACAAAAATCACCATCGAGTCGCCAAACCGGACGCCACATAAAATCCAATTAACTCCTCCACAGCCTCTGGCTTCCCTTCAAAGCTCTCCTGCCGAGAGCAGAACCAGAAGAAGGTATGTTAAGTACATCCCATGTTCGAAGTGTTGCTTCTTGCAATTCCTTGTCAAAGTACAGTAATGACATGAAACATGAGTTTAGTGTTGAAATAGTCGAGTTTCGTATTTATGCTGCCTGCTTTACCAAGCGCCTTATTTTGAAAAAAAAAAAACACCCACCCAGTAAGAACATACTACTTAGGTTTTCCTCACAAAGTAGGTAGTTGTACACCTACATAGCATTAGACAAGATTTCTTTAACAAAAATACGATGCAAGTAAACTCTTTTGCCATTCTCATTCAATACACAAAAATTTGTGTTGAGTTAAACATAAATTTTAGGCTTTTATGACTGTGAGGAAGAAATGTTAAATTGTAAGAAACTGTTTGCATTTCAGAACTTTTTGCTCTCCTAACTCTTTTTGATTCAAAATCATCATGTCAATTTCTTAATCAGTTTTATTGTATTAAATATTTTCATTGTAGGTACAGACCAAATTATCAGACCTCAACCGTTCCGAATTCTGAAAATACACTCTGCCTTCACAAACCAAAGCAAATAAAACAAACTGCCAAGCAAGATGTAAAAAGTGTCTCTGATAGCCCCTGCAGAACGACTCAGGTGAAATTGACAGAGTACTTCCCTGTCAGACGCAGTGTGCGCAAGACCAAACGTGAGGTCCTCGAAGAAAAACAGAAGTCTATTGAAACAGCTGTTAGGAATAATGTTCAAGATGGTCTGGATGTAAGTGTTTTTAAGACTCTTGTACTCTCTGAATCTTGAGTTTCATTCAGTTTAAAAAATGATAATACAATGATTTGTCATGCAGATTGACTGGGAGGTAGAACAGCCTCATTTATCACACTCATTCTTAATGTTCCGGAAGATCTTCGAAAAGTTTTACAGCAAGTCTGTAAAATTTATCCTAGACTTGCTCACCTCATTCCCTTATTTTGACGAGCTCTGCTTGTCATGGTCATGCTAGGCAAAATCTGATGTGTCAAATGATAATTTTCCCTCTCTTTATGTGATTCAGCATCAAATTTTTTTTTAAATTGTGATAACTTGCTGGTCAAGGACATCGCTTGTCAATGCAGGTATATAATATATAATAGCAAGTAACAGATTGTTGTGTGGCAATTTTATCTGAACCAACCAGAATGCTGCATTAGTTACCTGGTTTTGGCTGATTCCACAGTTTGTATAGGTTTAATAGACACAAAGAAACAAAATAAAACTTTCTGCAGCTGCCATTTCTTGATTTTGAACATCCGCTTTTTAAGGACTTTGGTGCCATTGGATGAGTTTCAGGGTCATATGGAATTATCTGATGTCACTGATTCTGATAAAAAAATAAACTGAAGCACTGAAAACCTTGGAGCCATGCACACGTTTAGAAATTCTGCAGTCTAATCTAAATCCAACTAATCTCTTGTTCCTAAAATTTTTAGGTTGAAGTTTTTGAGAATAAAGGACGAGGAGTCGTAACAACAAGGAAATTTAGTCGAGGAGAATTTGTCGTTGAATATGCTGGAGAACTTATCTCACACGATGAGGCAAGAAGGCGAGAGCAATTTTATGCGCAAGATGAAAACACCGGGTCATACATGTATTATTTTGTTCACTCCAACAAGCATTATTGGTAAGCTCACTCTGTCATTTTTCTATGCCAAAAAACGTACATTTTGAATCAATTTGTTTGTGCTAATCAAACCTCTCTATCGGTCAACCTGCTCTACCTTGAACCTACTATGCTAAAAATTAGAAAAGGAAACAAAAAAACTTCTTAAATTGAACGGAAAAATTTCTTTGGTTCTGAAATTCAGTGCAGTCTCCTTTCTAAAAATAGTCAAGATCCTTATTCTAACACCAACTATTTATTGAAGAGATAAGACCATTTGCAATGTCCATGTAACCAACATGTTTTTTGCGACAAGCAGATTTGTACGCACAAGTTGTTTGTAGACGTAGACACTATTAGTTTTTAGCCCAAAATGCTCAGAATCAAAGTTAAGACTGAATTCAAGTGCACATTGGTAAATAAAAACTACTGGTGTCTGCATTAGTTTTGGTTGTATCACGAATTTCGGAAATTTAAATAGACAAACTGTAAATGCAGAATGTTTACTTTCAAGTCGATTTTGGTACTTTTCAATTTGTTAAACATGTTTTGCGTGAACTTTCATAAGGAAACGTATCTAGCGGTAGTACCTTTTAATTGTTTACCTTTAGTTTTTTTACCATTGTGCACTAGAATTCAGTCTTAACTTTAATTCTGAGCATTCTGGCCAAAAAACTAATAGTGTCCACAAACAACTCGCACTTAGTAATTTTTGTAGTAATTACAATTATTACATTTAACCAAACTATGTCCACCAAGTAATGTGGTTGATTTTAAAACAACCATGCCTGTTATAAAACTGGAATCTTGTGATTTTGTTAATTTTCAACACTTAATTTTAACATTTTTACAGTATCGATGCAACTGAAGAGACAGACCGCTTGGGTCGGCTTATCAACCACTCTCGAAATGGCAACCTCTATCCAAAAATCATTCTGATTGACAAGCAGCCACGGCTAGTCCTCCTAGCTAACCAAGACATCGCAGCAGGAGAAGAAGTCACTTATGACTACGGTGACAGGAGCAAAGAGTCCATAAAAAATCACCCTTGGCTACTCTTTTAACTCGAGGTAACGACTAAAATCTCCTCCAAAGTTTACTCCATCAATTTTGATCACTCAGCTGTAAACATATTTGACTGATAATTTATAACCGAAGAATGGCCCTGAGTCAATCCAGAGTATCCTTCTATGCCTTATCTTCCATATTGTTGTTTTGTTTATAATTTCTTTTTGTGTTCATTGCAACTAGCTGTAGGCGCATCATTTTTAGATTATTTAATTTATCAGAATTTCCTACTGATTTATTTATTTTCGACTTTCGCATCCTAGACGTATAACTGTTATGTAGCTTAAACTTTCGATTGCTTAACTGTCAATCATTTAATTTTAATGAGTTTTCTGGAGTAAAGTTGACTTTTCTCTTTTTCTTCTTTCTTTGTAATCATAACCAGCTCACACGGCTGTACATTATGAAATATTCACAGCAACTCGATTGACACTGCCGAAGCATCAGCTGACTCAAAGTTGTAAAATGTGTGGAGCTTGATTTTAAGACTCGGTAAAACCTGATTATCTTGAAGTTCTGTTAGAGATTATTTGCCACCAGTGTCATTTTACTGACACTGTACAGTACCATGTTTCTGAAAATTCTACCCGTCAAATACCATACTTCTCATGAAGTTCTACTTTGATTTTAACTTTTAGTAAACATTTTTAATGCTTATTTCTGGCAGCTTTTTTTTATTATTATTATTTCAGAATTATTTTATTAAATTTCATTACTAATTTGATTTACAATAAATTTTCGGCAGCTGTCCAAAAAATCTAAATGAATCCAAAACTGAGAAGACGTCCTCTCTGGGATGTTGAAACAAATAACTACAAAGTTGAAACAGTCCCAATAGAATATTTTCTGTGACGCCCTGGAAACACGGTCAGGGAAATTGCTAAAATCTCTTTGTGATAATTTTTTTTTTCTTGCGGTGTGTCAGTCTAGCCTATCTTCTCTTCTCTTCTCTTTAAAACTCTCCTAGTTCAGATTCAGAACTCATATATTTTACGCCTGTTTCTATTCTAATGTTTTTAGTTACTCTTTCCACTCCTAAGGCGCCTTACACGGAAATATGAAATCTTGCCTCTGTCAAGATCGCTTTTAAAATACAGAACCTTGTCGAAAAGGATTTTACACATAAAAATATGTCTTACCTGCATGTAGATTGTTAGGAATAGATTAAAAGTCTAACTTTATGGAAACTTGTAAACTTTAATACTTAAAAACAAACAGAGGTGTCCACAGATCTCAATATCAGAAAAATAGAGCGCATTAGTTCTCAATTATAGGGTACATATCTTGGATTACAGTTGAAAAATCATACAGAAGCCTGTATTTTAACTGTTAGCTTAAATGTTGAGACTTTGAGAGAAGTTTTATTTTTTTATCTTTTAAAAGTTTGCTCACCGAAAAGAGAAATACCTACATGAAATAAAATTTTGTAGCTCCATTCAGAGAACTCATGGTTCAGACTCGGATCTCTTGGAACACATCTCATAAAAGAGAATGAAAAACTAATTTCTGTCATGAAAATTGAAAAATGTTGTAAAATTTGGAAATTTCCATGGTTTTTCCCAATGTAACTTTTAAGATCTGTATGGTTGCAAAGTTTTATGCTACTAACAACTTTCCTCAGCAAGAAATCTCTTTATTCACGGGGTTTCACTTTTAAAAGAACTCATACCTTCCAGAAAGTTGGTAATCCTTCATTTGCAGCAGTTTTTAGTCGTGCTCTGTTGTTTTTGCTGTCTGTTCCACTTTTAGTCATCTGTTTGTATTTTAACATATCAAGTTACTCTTGACAGGGGTGCCACAGTCAGGGAATGCCATAAAACAGGGAAATGTCTAGGAATTTTAAAAAGTCAGGGAAAACTTGGAAATGTCTGGGAAAATGTTGGTAAGTGCCAGGGAAAAATTGTTAAGTCTCCTACATGTATTTTTATTTTCTATAATGGGTTTGATGCTTCAAACAACAAAATTTACCTGAAAATTATCTCAAAGTATGTCTTTTTAACCATATGGCATATCTTCAATTCAGGGAGTTTTACGAAAATGTTACCGGGAATTTCATTTTCTAAAATCTGTGGCAACCCTGTCTTGACACTCCTAATACGCCCAGATACGCATATATTTTTTTTTTATTTATAGAACAGAGGTATTCTTTTTCACCAAATTTTTACTAACAAAATTTCTGATGTCAAATATCCTTCTCTATCTGAAGTAACAACTTCACAACTAATACCCCTGCAGTATTAATATATGTCTCTTTTGCACTCTCTTAGAAACTGTAAATTGACAATTTCGATTTGATAACTTGTCTCTCTTGGAACAGTTGAACCTAGTTCTAAAAAAGTGCACCAAGTCGCAGCATGTTTAAACTGAGAAAGGAAGGTCTGAGGTTTTATTCCTCCAAGAGACTCAATGTTAAGGACAAGATTTAATTACTATTTTCACGCTGAAAATATCTTTCTCGACTTCGAATTTCTGCCAGGAGAGGATTTATGTCCAGTTGAATTCAAAACTACACGCATCCCATTATTTAAAAATGCGACTTGGTGCATTTCTATTAAACCCTTCCCAGTTTGTCTGGAAAGTTGGGGGCAGTTAATGTTAGTGAAGCATCATATTTCCTTTACCAATGAAATGGGGAAATGTGCGTTTTTACTGCAGGTTACAATGCAAAACGCTTCGTAAATTCAGTCTTAAGCTTAGCAGGAAAACTTCCCATCTAACGAAGTAAGCATTGTGTTACCACTCAAATAAAAAGCCATCTTGTTGGACTGGCATACCTTTTTGGAACCAACTTGTTTTCTACTGGATCCTCATTGCAGGTAAATCTTACTACTAAGAAGTATGGATTTCTAATGGTCCCAATCTGTATATTTACAGGAAAAATATTGTGACGCTTGCAAATACTTTGGCGCTTTTTTTTTTTTTTTTTTTTTTTTTTATCACCATTGTTGATTTCTCGTGCAGCTTGCAGGTTGTCCCCTGCACACTGTACTGCTGTCCAAATGGCTGTAAAATTTTTTGATCTGTAATCCAAAATAATCCCCCCCCCCCCCATTTTTTCACAACAGCATCTTAATGAACAAGCTTTCTTGTATTTTTTTATTGAAGTTCAGAAATGCGGAACCTATGACGAGGACCAAAAATATTTTGTAAAGTGAATCAGCTGTACTTTTTGCTTTGAGATACGATGACCAACCACCCATATACCCCTAACTCAAGGAGTCTTTAAACTTTCTCGACTTCAAAATTATATTCACCATGAAAATTAATTTCGAACTTGGAATCTAAGCAAGAGTTTTTCCTTATGTATTGTTGCCAGAGTTACAAGTTCTAAATCTAGTCAAATAGGATCAGCCAATTTGTATTCAGATTGAAGCCCAACTTCCAGTGTATTATTTGAAAGCAAGTACACAGTTCCATCTACAACGATTGTTTGAAGAAATGAAGTAGTATTTTGACCGTGAAACTGCAAAAATTTGTATCTCAGTTGTAATGTTACAAAATCTCTGCCCAGTAGTATATTGACCGTGAAACTGTAAAAATTTGTATCTCAGTCGTAACGTTACAAAATCTCTGCCCCTGTTTTATTTTTTAAAAAGAAACCTAACAATCATCATGACTTGAAATTTGCTTGGCGTACCCTTCACTTAGAAAAGACAAATTAACAAAGTTTTCAAGAAATAACGTTTACGTAGTAGTTTGCCATGCAGAAAATGAAACATGACAGGAAGTCTGGAAGACAATATTTGAACCAATGTACACATTTTTGTGGTTTCACCTTCACCATCAATGTATTAAACTTTCTTCCCCCCCCCCCCTTAATTTGTGTTTATCATAACTTAAAATTAAAGTGCTTAGAAAGACATTTGCTGAAAAATATGATTTATTTCTTTTTTCTTTCATTCTTAATCTGAAAGATGAAGCTTTGAGTAATTCAATATGGCCTATTCTAAGTATATGAGACGCAAGTTGTATATAGTGTTCCTACCACCAAACTATTTCTTCAAGCATGCTTGCATTTTGTCCATGAAAACCATTTTTCAACCAACCAACCAAAAAATTCTGTCCCATCTTTGCATACCTTGAAAAAATTTTAATCGGTGGTTATCAGTATCGAAATCATCTGGGTTTTTTTTTTCCTTTTTACATCGAGGAATTTATTCCTCTAAACTTAGTTTGGGTCATTTTGATTTCAATGGCAATCAGCTCGAGGCGGTATTGTTTTTGAAATTTTGTTTTAGAATTGGATTTTCGAGATACAGTAATAAAACACTGCATGTATGAAGGCTCCCTTCTAAGATTCTGAGTCAAAAAACCATTCAAATTAAATACATTTGATTTGATCCAATAAAAACAAAATTTCGCCCCGTAATCAGTGGTCAATGGAAAACTTTACTTATTTCATGGATAACTCAAGAAATAAACAAGAAAGTTAGTTTAATCGTCTGAACGTTCTGGTAGTATGCATGAAATATCACGAATAGATGAAGGGAAAAGATGCTGGATAAATGGAAGAGTTAAATTTATAAGCCTCAATGGGTCATAGAAGTCAGTCAATTAAAATTAGTAGTGCACTGCAATGATTCTAGATGTGAAATTTTAAAATTTTGGATAGAGGCTGTTAAAAATTTCTGACTTGGAAGGTCAAGTAACTATCCTCTCAATGGAATGTTCATATTTTGTATCAGTCTCTATTTGTTTTTATTGTTTTTAAGGCTCTTCTTCAAATGTCTCATCTGTCATCCTGAATTTATGGATCTATATTTATTTATTTATTTATTTACCGACTCTAAAGAGTACTGGATTTATGTTTATAAATATGTAAGATGTTATTTAAAGTCTGTGGTGTCGGAAAAAATATCAGTTGAACACCATGTGGCCTCAATTTTATTTTAGTATTAATTGTAGGAGGGATAAATTAATTTTTGATCTCTCATCAAGCAAATTTCTGTTCAGTGCCGTTTTGGTTTTCAAACTCCTTCTGACAAAACCAGAATAGTCAAGCTATACTTTTTCAGTGAATAAGTTTTTTTTTTCCTACGCAGAGATCAAGTTTTCAGTGATTTTCTAAAAAGATAGTTTCCTATCATTGTAAAAATTGTTTATCTGCTTTAATCTTACTGCTATCTCTTTGTGTATTCCACTTTACTCAGGTTCCTGATCCGGAGTACCGAAACTGAGTTCTTTTATCAACTGATCCACTTTAAATCGGTAGCTCAGTATGTCTTGAGCTATCGTACAAAGTTGTACAACTTGCAGTTGCTCCGTAAGAAAATAATCACGGTTAACTAGAATATGTGAGCAAAAATTTGCTTGTGAAAATTTGTCTATCGTATGATCTCTTCTAAGTTTTAAATCAAACTAAAAGTCAAAGAGTTGTCCTGTTTTTCGTTTTTGGAGTTTAATTCAGTCAAACCCGAACCTGAAATTCAAATGAGCCATGTTTAACCCTTTTATTGAAACTCTGTTGTATTTTACCTATGTTTAGATAATTTTTTATCTTCGAATCCCCCTTCTTTTTCCCCTCACCCTGTAATCAATATTTTTTATGTTTGAGTTGTTGTGGAGAAAGCCTCTCGTGAGCAGACCTAATGCAAATGACCGATTCAAATCAAAGATTTGTTTTGTGTTTTGAAAAAAAGACTTTCGATTCTCTCTTGCTTCTAGAGATGTGTTTATTTTCTACCTGAATGCTCTCAAGAGCGTGGGATATTGTCTTTGAAATAGTGATTTTGCTAGGTTTATGTTTCGGGTTGTACCCCTTATCTCCACAATGCTCCAAAATTTAGTTGATAAGGTAACACTAAGTGCTTGAAATTATATGTATTAAACTTTATCTATCTTTTTAAAAATGTATATACATTCTTTGGTCAAATGCTTCAATTTGTCAATTAGAAGTTAGAGTGACTTCAAGTGAATGCTAATTTTAGCATGATGACGAACTTATGATAGCATGATGATGCACTGATGATAGCGTAAGGAAGCCCAGATTACTACAAAATAGTTTTTTAGATGCTCTCATATTGATTTTTGCTGAGTCCTGAGTATGTACGCCAGCCTCAAATTTTCGAAAACACTTCTTCTGTGAGATTTTTGAAGCATTTCATATCATTATTTTGTGAATAATTGTATGTAGTTGTATACAGTGGTGAGTGTTACGAGTTTACAACACAAGATTTTTTCCATTTAAATCCATTGAAAATATTCTTCTCACCCAGAAATGAAGAAAAAAGAGTGTCGCCAACTTGCAAAACTCACCACTGGTTGTATATTTTATGTCAGTAGACCGTATGATACCAAATGAACCTATGATCACCGCTTTACTTCTCGGTTTTGTCTCTGCTGCAATTTGCCTACTTATTGAACGAAGGTCAATTAATACCAGATGTTTATGACAAAACGCGGCTTCAAATTAAGGTTTAAGCTTAGTATTAAGGGTGTGTATGTATTAATTATTTAAAATAGTCAACGATATCTGACAAATGGAATAAATGCTCTATACCAAAGCAGGCGTATGAAATAACATGGAATAAAAAAAAAATGAGTACTACATGTGATCTTTCATGTATCATGGTTGGCTAAACTCGGAAACCATCAATTTTGATTTAAAATCTTGCAAGTTTCCCCTCCTTCACTCTCTAGTTTTTAACTGGAAAACTAACCAGCGCAATTTATCGGAAATTCTCAAAGATTTTCTTCCTTTCTTTCTTTGTTTCCACAAAGAATGTACAGTGTTAACTTCAACTCATAAAACTCGCTTGTCTCTAATTGAAGACGATCCAGAGGGAAAAATTTTGAAAGGTTGCAATCAAGATTTTTGGTTTTAGAGTTGTGTCATCAAAATATCAACTACGATATATAAGGCACTGTAGACGTTATTGGTGTTACATCACAGAAAAATGGTACTATATATCGATTCATTTTCATCAGTGGCACTAAAAAAAGTTTGTCATTGTTATTGCTTGGATCCACTATGATATAGTGATCCCAGCACCGATAATGGCTGTATCTTGAATGTTTAGTGTTTATAACTCAGTTTATTTTGTAGCCTCTCACTCAACCATTTACTCATTACCTAAGAAATTGAGTGAAGTTGACTGTTAAAAACCAATCGGCTCCTCTTCAGAAATCAGAATGCTTTAAAATAATGCGTATATTGCAAAATAGTTAGGGCTCTCAGTAATTCCCCGATTTATTACCAACAAAGATTTATTTGCGTGTAGTTTGGATGACATTAAGGGTTGTTTTATCCATGAAAATTTAAAAAGTAGAATTTTCTTCCATCCCGCCCACAATTAAGAAAGAAAAAAAAAACTGCACGGCAAATGAAGTATTCCCACCAAGGATATGCACGATTTTCCTCTTCAAGCAATATAAATCCTCTACTGCACTCGCCGAAAATGACGGTCTGTAGTCATTGCCCAAGAGTAGTTACTTTGTGAATTTGAAGGTTTTTTTTTAAATTCAATTTAACCCAAATATTAAAATAATCTGGACACTTAGATACATTTCTTGTCTCAACTGCATCGAGAACCGAAAAGTGTGCGATTCCCAGAAACTTTCAAGAAAGAATTCTATAGTTGCATTAATGACTCCCTCTTTAATTTTTGATTGGTGAAGAAGGTTAGTAAAAAGTCGAAGAAAGATTTACTGATTTGTAGATGTCTTGAACTACTGTATCTTTCCACCCATTTGGTGCCTTCCGCGCCTGTTCCCAAGTAATACCTCTCATGTTTTGTTGATCATCAAGATGTAAGTTTGTACTATTTTCAGATGTTTTTGAAAGTTTTACAAGTCTTCAGGTGTTCGCACCATCTTACCTTAGTCAAGTTCAGGAACACTCAAGTGCTGTTTTCTAAATACTTTTGTACCAAATATGTATTTCGATAACACTAAACGGTTCCAGGTCCATTTCAAGTGGTTGTACTTAAAGCCATCTTTATGTCTTTAGTGTTATACTTTAAATCGTCTTCTTAGTTATTGTAACATTAGTTCATTGATAGCTATGATAATTTTATCGGGACTTTGTGCCCTCTATTTTTGACATGCTCCGATTGATAAAGCGATGGTGTATTATGTGAACGTTTAATAAACTAATTTAAAGGTATCCTTGTCTCGGCTTTATCATTTGTCATTCTAATTCCAACTTTCGGAAAAGGACCCTTCTACCTAGAGGCAAATTTTTTCTAGCTTCAAATTGCATTTTGTAATGATATCCAACCTGTCTTGCAGCTCTTAAATTATTTCTTGACTGGATAGAGGTAAGCAAATGATTCTCTCCAGATAACGTCCCATTGGCATCGATTCCTTAAAGAATTGGACTTTAGTCCTTCGCTTTGCAAATTTTAATATCTTTAAAAGTAGTTAAATAATAGATTTTTTTACATATGTTGAAGTCCTCATATGCATTTTCCTTATATTTGAATAATATCATCAGCTAAAAATCCAGAAAATATGCATAATTATCACTCGTTTAAGATACACTCAAAAAGTTGATGCTTGAAAGACAAAGATTTGATTTATTGAAAGAAAATTAGGTATCTAAAGATGAATCATATACACCAACATCCAAAAGTGTATCGAAATAGAAAAAAATTGGATGAAGTTTAACAAAAGAAACAAGTTGCGTCAAGACTAAACAAAGAAAAAGAGGTTTGAAGTTTTATCCTTCCATGAGAATTCAATATCAGAGATGACGTTCAATGGCTATTAAGTATGATATTCAAATTAATGTTTATTGGCCTTGAATTTTTGACAGGAAGAAGTGTGTGGCTATTTAATATAACAAATATTCCTAACATATGAGTGTAGCCCCCCCTCCCCATCCATAACCACTACCCTAGGAGAGTTGATTTATCATGTATAGCCAGTCATGCTACATAAACCCTTTATGTTGTGGTGACACATATCCGTAACAACCTTTTTTTGGTTTTCTAAAAATTGAATCATACCTCTGTGGCATGTTGTTGCAAATTGTCATTTTTTTTTCTTTAAAAACTTGTTACAAAAAGTTGGTGTGAAATTTCGAGAAAAAGATTTGGGGTTCTATGCCTTACGAATTATTTGATATTTCAACATAGATTTGTCTCCCCCAGAAGCTGCTGAGATCCAAAATTAATTGAGGCCTAAGGGATAACTCAATTTATCTAAAATGTGACGTGGCCTCGTAAATACGTTCCATCTCACTCAATACTTTTAATAAGGGCGCCAAAAGTTTGCAAACGGTGACTGGAGAAAGTTGAACGTTGGATTTCGACATCACTGATGCCAAGTCAATTGTTATTGTTTACAATAGTTTCGGGAGTTTTATCAGTAATCCTCGTTTTCCTTTATCTCTTCAGTATTTTCAAGGTAATTATTCAATTTTCATCCCCTAAAATTGTACGGATATATTTCCTAATACTATGGTAGCATCATAGAATGACTTCACTCGTTAATTTGCATTGCTTATCTTTCCATCCATCTCAAAATGTGATAATTAATCTACACTCCTTCTCTCATCAGCCATTTCAGTTTTCCGAAGCTTATTCTAAGTTCAACAAAGATCTATAACTTTCATCCAAAAGAACTGTAATTCTCTGCATCGATAATTTTTCTAGATTTCTAGTCCGAAGCAATCAAAGTATTTATTTTTGTTCTTATGAAATGAAAAACTGAAATAAATACCTAGATGACGTAATCTTCCATGTTCCTTTTGAGAAATAATGAATCGCATGATAATCTCTGCTCATCATAATATCAGATCTAGGAGGAGATTGGTTTGCTCATTTCAGTAGGAAAGCTTTTTTGATATATATGTATGATGAAATAATTGCAGGGATAAGTTCAGAAATTCGCGTAAAGTTTGATTTCTTTGGAAAGAAACCTGAGAGGAACACTTGCTGATTAAATTGTCAAAACAATTTTCCAGGGAGCTGAGTTTACTGAAGTATAAACACAGGGAAAGCAGACGTTGTATCCATGAGTAGGACCTAATCATCAAGTGACAGCTATTCGGATGTTTTCTAACTACTCAAGACTCTTAGCAGAATACATCGGACCAGCAAGTATGAGCTATTCGGACAAACCTGAAGTAAGCAAAGAAGAATGGATGAATCGTCTGGAACAAATGCACATACAGAGGGGCGACATGAACAAATTGATCATGAACTATCTCATAACAGGTATTTTTGGGGCTATTTTGGATTTATCGTTTAACTGATTCAGTTACATCTGATACTTACCTACTTTTGAGAAAAAGGTTCTGAAAGTGAAAAAATAAATTTATATTGAGATAACTATCTACCCATAAGTGGTAAATTCTGAATTGTTTGCCCACAAAAGTATTAGGGAGTTCCAAAAATGGACTATACTAGAGCATTCCGAAGTTTGAGGACAAAAATCAAAATTTTGAGAAAATGCTGCTAAGTTTTGAAACAATTTTACTCATAAAATTCGGCTTCTTAACATTAAAAATGAATTCTGGCTTGTGTAATGGCTGCAGTAAGTATTGTACAATGAACCCTTGTGTACCTTATAATTCAATGTAATTTTCTCTCACCCTGCCCACATGTCATCACCTTTCGGCCAAAGTATCACAAGCGCCATTTTGACCGAAATTGAGTTATGAATAGTTTCAAAATTACAAGATGCTTTTACACCCAAAAATAAAAATTGTTTTTCAAACAAAAATGTAGAAATATGAATAAAAATCTATTAAAGTTGATGTACTTTCGTATCACAAGCGCCATTTGGGAGTTCGGCATCACAAGCACCAAACTCGGCAACCGCCCACTTTTCTGATTGCAATTTCTGTTACAGCAACCCTCGTAATGACTCGAAGCTAAATTATTTTCACAAGTAAAGTATCTCGTTATTTCGAACCTAAGATTCGTTTTTAGAATAAAAATGAATGATTATGGAAAATACTCTGTTGAAGTTGATGAACTTTTGTATTACAAGCGCCAAGTTGGGTAATCGCTCATCCTTGGGATTTTTTTTGGCATTTCAGTATCAGCTACACTTAAAATGGCCTGGAGCAATTAGTTACTTTCCTAGTTTCCGGCTACAGTATTACAAACACTATTTGTATTGACATTGAGTCATGGATGATTTTGAATTTATAAGATGCATTTACCTACTTATGAAAATAATAATTTTTTGTTCTTTGTTTTTCTAAGACATTTTATTGTCTTGACAAATCCATGTGTTTTCCTGCCTTCCCATGTATATTTTATGTAAATTTTTTATTCTTTTCTTTTTCTAGAGGGCTTCAAAGAAGCAGCTGAAAAATTCCAGCAGGAATCAGGCGTTAATCTGAATATAGACTTAAACTCAATGGATAGTAGGATTAAAATCCGTGATGCTGTTCAAAATGGTCAGATTTTAGAGGCAACCTCTTTAGTAAACCAACTTCATCCTGAACTACTAGACAATGACCGATACCTCTATTTTCATCTTCAGGTACGGTTTTTTTGCCTTCATTTTAAATTTAGTGGCGCTATACAAAGATGAAGAAATTCTCTTCTAAAAAAGTGAAGTGGAGAAGAATTTTGATAGTAAGGGTATTTTGAAAGTTACGAAGAAGTTTTGAAACTTATATCTTCAAATCTGTGCAAAGAGGTGCATATCGACGGTGTGAGTCGGCAATCACGTAACTCGGTTTGCGACGTCGCAGACCTCCTCTCATACTTTATTTTTTGAATGGAAAACTGCTCAACGGCAATTCTGTAAAACTACTGTGATTTTTCTTCTCTATGCGAAGAAAATTCTACAAAAACTTCAAGGAATGATGTCGATTTGTTCTTCTTTAAAAAAATAACATAGAGGCGGAGATTTTCAGACACCGCAAACAAGATATGTGTTTGTGGACTTACGCCGTCGATATAAGTAATCCTTGCAGGAAACACGAGGCAGATCTTTGGTTGTAAAGCAATTTTCAGAGATTAGTTTAAAAAAGACAATACTTTGAAAAAGTGGGAAGGATCGCACATTTTACCATGTAATCTGGCATTTTGCTGTTTAATTGGACATTTGTCCATGAAACAAATAGACAATAAGGCTGTGAGGAAAGAACGTCAGATCAAGGCAAACGATCAGTGTTTTAGATTTCTCTGCACCTCTGTGATAGATGTATTGAATTTTTCCAGCCCCATTTCGTTGTGACAAGCTACTTTTTTGAACATGCAAACAGTGGAGAAAGTTGGAGGGGAAAAAAAGATGAAATTAATTATTTTAAATAGTACAGAAGGGCAAGATTGGACTCATTTGTTCGTCCTCGTTCAATATTAGCATTAAAAAGTCGAAAATTGTTGCAAAACTCTGTTGAAGTATTTTTCTCCAGTTTGATGATAAATATTCGATATGAGATGCCAATTACAAAACATTTGCTCGAAATAATGAAGGATGTACATACAAACTGTTTCGTTCAATTTTAATGCTAGTAGAAGTAACTTTACCTCTTTAAGGGCACCGCATTGTTTTTTACCACATTTTCATGTGTGTAATTTATAGGTTGTGAAAATTAAATAATATTCAATTGATTTTTTCTAGCAATTACACTTGATTGAGCTGATTCGCGCTGGAAAAGTGGAAGAAGCCTTACGTTTTGCACAGGAACAACTGTCTGAAGCCGGGGAGAACGATCCAACAGTTTTGCATGAACTAGAGAGGACTCTAGCACTACTTGCTTTTGAAGAACCCACCAAAAGTCCATTCAGTGATCTATTGCAACAGGCCCATCGTCAAAAGGTATGCCTCTTGCTCGAACATTCTAAAATTTTTGGAGAAATCTTTTCTGTTAAATAATTATCTTCCATTAATATATTTTTCAATTTAGCATGATTGTATAAAATTATTAATGTAAAAAAGCGAGCTGTAACTTGTAAATTCATTTATAAATTTGGACCAGAATCTTTCTCAAGGGCCCCAAGGACCAAAATTCAAGTTTTAAGGAAAAAGATGGAATGCATGCCTTTTGGCATGGGTTTTTTTTTTTTGTTCAAGAATTGATTAGAACATGTGGATAGGATGGAGGATAAATGGCTAGCAAAAATGTGCAAGGTTGGACGTCTCTGAGAAAAAATAATGCCCTGACGACTTCTCAAGAGATGAGCATTAAGCTGGCTGTCGTCTCCAGAAGATAAATGACAGTGTTTTATGTTTTAATTTTTGGCGACTGCTCATCAAAATAAGCACAAATCAAATTTATTCCTTTTACATTGCAATAATGGCCAGGCGAAAAGGACTTATGCCCTGGTAATTAAAAGAAAGAATGAGAAAACACCATCGTTTTCCGGGCTCAAAAGATTGAGCACGTGCTGAACTGGCGTTTTCCCCATTTTTCCCGGAACTTGAATTTTGGCACTCGAGCATTGAAGATCAGCTCAGTTTTTTGAGAGTCTATGAGATATTATAACAGTTGTGTGAATAACAAGACAATATCAAAAACGCCAGTTTAAAGTCAGTAATATTCCCGGATTTTCTGGACAGTGGACAGACACCCTGATAGGTCCAAAAATGATTCAATTTAAAAAGAAAATCAACTCAATTGGCAGGGACAGCTTTCTTTTTCTTCTCTTCAAAAGGAACCAAGCTTCTGCACCATATTTTCACAGAATTACTTTCGTTCTTTCTCTTAGGAACTTTATGTTTAAAAAAGTGAAACTTTGAAATTCTATTCTGATTATTTTCAGGTGGCTAGCGAGTTAAATGCAGCTATTCTCAAGGTGGAGCACGACGAATCGACAACTCCTCGGCTCTTCAACCTGATGAAGTTGATCTTATGGTCCCAAGATGAACTAGATAAGAAAAAAATAAAGTACCCACACATGACCGACCTGAGTACAGCCACCATCGAGATGAAATGAGATCAGGCGGAGGAGGAAGAGGAAGAAATTCAAATTGATTAACTACGTCTTGACGATCTATTGAATCCTGGGTAAACTGCTAGATTCTAAGGAAAATTTTTAGTAAAAATAGCACTTAGGACAGCCCATTGTTTGGTCATTGGTAAAGTCAGAAGAAGTCAGGAAATGTTTGAGTCAGGGAACTGAAAAATTAAGAAATTAAGGAAACCCTGAATTCCTTTAATATTCAGTCACTCATATTCCAGTGTTCATAACCAAAATCAAGCATGGAAAACTGTTGAAGAAAGGCCTGAGATACTGAAAGTAAGGCATGGATGGAGCAGAGCTCAAACTATACAGGATAGTGTTTCTCCAGGGGAAGTTTCTTAATTATTACTTTAAAAAAAAAAAAAAAAAAAAAAAAAAAAAAAAAAAAAAAATAGAATAGAAAAATGTTATGGTCAATCCAAATTAAAAATCTATCAAATCAGTCGGATAAAATTGGGTCTCCTCCAAAAATTTTCCAAACCCTTGAAGATTTGAAAAAAATTACAATTAGACTGCATTTTTGTTATTATTAACTTAGAATAAAGTCTTGCCCTGAAGAAATTTTCTTAATCGAGCTAAGTGGACCATTTTAAAAGATGAAGAATGACCAAAAAAATACAACTTTATTCCGTTTGAAATGCTTTGTTCCAGAAGTCTGTCATGCTTTTGAACAATACTTGCATCAATGAAACATAGGAAAAATACAGTAAAACATGGGTATACAAGGCTGAAAGGCAAAATAAGCAAAATCAAGAAATTTCGGGCCAGTTACATGCCCATTGTTAACTAGGAGCAAAGCTAAAAATTAAAAAATCAAAATAAGAAAATTAGCATGCAATTGATTGAGGTAGGAACCAGTGCAAACTAGTTGCATTGATGCTTATCAATGCTGCTAAGTGGGATGTCCAAAGTTACAAACCAACTCACTTCGTACACCTTACGAACAGAACAAAATTAGTTTTTGAATTGATACTCTTATGTTTATCTTCTTTTTAAATTTATCCATTGATCGGTAAGATCTGTGAGAAGTTGTTCTGGTGTTTTTAAAAATATGAACTGTAATTTAAATATTTCTTCTGATTAGTAATGAAACTAATAATTATAGATGTTTTAGCAATCAAAATAGCTTTCTCCTTCTTACGTAACTAATTCTAGACAAGGGATTTTATGGAGATAAATGAAGAGTCAGGCTCAGTTCAGATCTGTCTTGCTAGAAGTCTTACTCCCCTTATCTCAGGTTCAATTTGTCGTCAGCGCAGTTAATAATAAACTGTAAAAAAGTAGAAAATTAATGTCAAACTGTATATTTGTAATTTAAATTGTAAATTCTATTGATCAACTGATCCAGCTAACGTCAATCCTTGTTTAAATTTGAGAGAACCGCAGTTGTTTCACTAAAAATACTTTTGTAAAATCTTAGAAATATTTATCTTTGCCACATTCAAACCTCAAAAATGTGAACTTCCTCTAATTGTAAATTTTGCTTTCTCGCTGGATGTGTTTTTCAAATCGTGCCCAGAGAACTATATTGAGTCTTGCACTTTTATTAATTAAAGGAGCACTTCACCTTAGGCGTATATTTATGGATCTATTTTATGCGTTGCTTGCTGAGGTTGCCAAATATGTTCTTCTGTTGGTTGTTGGTATCTCAAGATTTTTAGGATGCAGCTCAATACAAAAATTTAATAAATAAAACCATTCTTCAAAATCATCTCGTCAAGCAACAGTTATCATGATGATAGATAAGTACTTCGATTTTCCCTTCTAATTCTAGGAAAATAGATTGATTTAAGGTGATGGATGTTCCTATCAATTTGTATTTTTAACTTTTTAAAATTGTTTCATGCGTAAATTTTCTGATTAAATCATGTAGATTTTTTGCAACTCCATGGCATTGATATCTGAGTGATAATACATTTCCAAGAAAAATTACAATGAAGTATCTTCTCTGCTATGTACTTCATTTTTTCTAGTAAACTGGTAATCATTGCAAGTACCAAGAAAATACCTCAGCTAACTTACTGTTTGGATAATTGGATCTTACAAAACAATGTTTTTAAGTGCAGTATTTTTCTAACGTAAACCATTACAACGCCACACTATCTAGAATTTTTCAAGGGTAACAGATTATTTGATATTCCCAAGCTGAGCTTTAAGTGAATTTGAAAAACGCATTTTTAATAAAGCACTGATTCGAACCTGTTCAATAATTTTTCGTCATACTTATCATCATATGCCTATTTAAACTTTATTTAGTCTCAATAGCTTCTTTTTGAGTACTGATAGTTGATGGATCACGGAAATCCGCCAAGATCTTTTTATATCCGTTTGAAAATAACCTTTTTGTTCAATAAAATTTGGTAATGCACCCGAATTTCTATTTTTTTTTCAATTTTAAAAGGCAGAAACTTCCTTGAGCTTGCTTTCTTTGAGGACAGAAAATGATTTCAGCACATTTGACCAATTTGATGGTTTTTAACCGAAATTAACCTAACCCCATCAAATGTTCCCTTCCTTCTTATGTTTTATTTTTTTATCAGGAAACAAAGCAAAGCTCCGATTTAAAGTTTTTTAATCACCTTTATCAATTATAAACTCGGTAAATTTCAAAGAACCAGGCTAGTCCCTTTGAAAATGACCCGCTGAGTCCGATTCTTGAGTTCAGAAAGCTCCACGAGTCAACAAATTCGCGGGATTGATGACAAACGCGCATTTGAGGAACTCCCGCAGAATTGTCAAGAACGGTCGATTTTTATTGTTTCGCGGTTTAGAAAGCCTAGCCAAGCTTCGGGACCATGCATTATCGATTTTACGCCTCAAACTTTACAGGATTCGACTCTAATCTCGATTTTTTCCCCTTCCAAAATCGAAAAAAATCGACAGGGGCTATCTTTTGAGGGTCAAAATCGGAAGTTCTCCGATGGAGCTGAAATGTAGCTGGTCCTCTTGGAAATGACTCACTGAGTCCGATTTCTTGGTCTAAAATGCTACATACGCTCACTGGAACTCAAAGCAGGTCACATAATGCGAGCAAAACTATCGTAAACAGTCGGAGATGGTCAACAACACTTGTTTCCTGGCTCAGAAAGTCTCAGAACCAGGCGCAATCGATTCTATGCCTTGAACTACTTATGGTTCGACACTAATCTCGAAAATTTGTTTACCGTCCAAAATCGAAGGAGATTGAAAAGGACTAACATTTTAGTGTGAAAATTGAAAGTTCTTCGATTGAGTTGAAACTGAGCTGGTCCCAGGTAAAATGAGGACTTGTTTCTCTGAGAAAATATAAAATATGAGCAGAAATTTCCAAACTTCCTGATGGAGATTCGTCATTCCCCACTTACCCTATCTATCGATTCGAGAGATTTAAAGTTGCCCCCATTTTACTGCTTGATAATTAACCACAAATTTGAGATAATCAAATTTTATTGTACATCAAGTGGTAAATCAATACATCATCGTTTCTCAGAAGAAAGAGCGTATCTCCATTTCAAAGTTGCAAAATCTACCCACACAATTTATTTTTCCTCACACGAAAATGACAGAGCAGTTGAGTCAAAATCAGTCAAAATCTCGTCGATCCATGGAGATATCAGGGAAATTTTCAGTAAAAAAAATATGATGCGACAGTTACTTGGTAAAAATACAAATTCTGAGACGAAACTTGGCAACGTTGAAATGCAGTTACGTTCTTTTGTCAGGGAAACGATGACTTACAAAATATCAAGGCTAGGTTATTTGCATAGATCAGGATATTAAGAGTAGAAGAAACAAAAAGAGTTCTTTCTTTTTTTGAAATTCTTCTTTGTAATTCTTAGAATGTTTCACATTCACACCACATATAGGCGATTAAATCAACAAAAAAAGAGGGAAGAGATATAATAATAAAAAAAACGAAATAGGTACTAATCCATAGCAAAAAATGCGTATCTCAGACTGCGACATTTAAAGTCTCAGCCTTAGTTTTATTTTTTAAAAGAAGAACTAACCAACAGTATCTATTGAAATTTTCTGTGATTCTTCTTCGCTCATTCTAAATAAGAAGCACATAAAATTGCAAGGAGGCATTTGGATTATTTCTCCTTGAAGAAAACAAACCTTGAATAAAACTTTTCAAATGTTGCAATCGAGATAGGCCTTTTGCTTTTAAAATACAACATATCACCAGGATTGCAAATTATTTCTAAGAAGACAAAGGAAAAATTATATTTAAAAACAAAAATTAAAGAATTTGCGTCAAGATAAGAACTGCATCTGAAATAGACGGTAGGTAACTCCAAGCAGTGAGAATTTTAAAATTAATGTACAAAAATTTTTTTCCAGCAAACCTTATCAAATAAATCAATACTGGTTCAATTGCTCTCAGGAAAAAGCACAGAGATTCTACCGGCGCATCAAGTGACAAGACCAAAAATCAAGATGCGCCGATTGGATTTTCACACTGTTACCAGCACAATAAAAATATTTATTTACAGTTATTTTCCTAACTTATGAACAGTAAAAACAGATTTTTTACACTTGTATTTCAACTATTAAATTTCATGAGTTCCTTATGTACAAATATACGGTGAATTTCTTTTCTATTCTAAGAATTACCACCTTTTGGGTGTTAAATTATCTAAAGAGGGTCAGTAAAGAAACATGCTTCGTGTATGGAAACTTCAGAGGAACTGAGAGGTACTTACATTTATTAGTTCACTGACTTAGAACATTAATGCTCCTTATAAGCCAAACAATAGAATTGAAAATACTTGGTGGCCCACCCAAGGCCATACTATTCACAGTAATGATTTCCTGACATGGATTAAAATCTGTTGGGATTGGCTGCCAAGGGGCCTTTGAAGTTAGGAACAACACAAGTGGTTAACTTTTGCAAGCTACCTGTGAGGCATACCATATAATCATCAAGATTGATGCTTTTGAAGTGCATGATGCATCTATATTATTTAAAAAATTGCAAAAATGTTAAAAATAACAAACTAAGATGCAATTGTTGTTGACATTTCTTTCTTCTGAAGATGGAATACTTAGAAAAATGGAATGTCAACAAAAATTTTAGCAATTTTATAACCAAAAAGAGTTTTGATGACAGAAAACTCTCTAAAATAGTTTAAAACTCTAAAAAGCACTAGAGGATGTCAACTTAAAACCATTAACTTGGATTGAGCTCACCCATTCAGAAACCTCCATGATGGCTATGTTGCAGGCAAATTGTCAAATCAGGCATTTTTTAATAAATGCCTAGGCAACCTGACAAATTCTGATGATTTACGAAGTTAAAAACGTTATTTTATGAAGCCTTCTTGCTTTAAGAACGTTTTGAAAGTAGAATTCATCAAACCCCTGTATTTTTTTCTTCGAATTCCCCTCGTATATTTTAATGGTCAAAATTTGAATAATTCTATGTTGTAGACATGCTGTAAATTTTTAGATGGATGGTTAGCTGGCTGGAGATCAATACAGATACCATTCACTTTTACAGTGTATTATTTCCTATAACAGCAAAAATTATTTTGTCTAAAATTAACAAACAAATCACAATTTCAATCCAAGAAAGATTATTTAACTATTTGTCTGCAACAGCTATAAATGGGGGGAAAAAACTCAAAAATCTGATTTTCGATGATACAGAAAATCAACTTTTGGTAATGAGCACTTTCACTTATTTAGATTACAGGAAAAAAATTAGGCAATGTCCAGATTTAGCTGGCTCAGTGCCAAGAAGCCTGGTGAATAGTGACTGCACTGGTGGACAGTTGAAATTTTTACAAGTTGGCAGCTTTGTTTTTTCTCCATTTAAATATATGTTAAACAATCGATTCTCAGTAAGGCACCTTGTCTCACCCAGAATCGATAGATTCAATGGATTTAAATAAGATATTAACAGTGTTGCCAACTTGATGGAATTGCCACTGCTGGTGTAAAGCAATAGAGTCGTTGAACAGAAAACGCCTTCCACACAGAGACTTGTGCCACAGATCGAAAGCTCATCTTTTTCCCTGAAAAGTTAACTTTGGTCAAAAATGTTGATATTGGAAATGTCAAATCATTGATCAACCATTCTTGCTTTGCCAGTGGACTGGTAAAGATAAAAAATGCTAAATAATCAGTGAAACATCAAAGTCAGCTAACGAGGGAAAAACGAGCTCTCCATGTATGTTAGACAACATTACAGGTTACATTTTCTTTCTGCTATCTTGGAGCAGAAAAGAATTAAAACTTAAAGTTGGCTTATCAGAGGGAACAAGGTATTAAAATGCTCTAAGATTTCGGCAGTAAAATATCACCATCCTAGGAAATAGTCAATAGTTTTGGAGACGACGCTGGAGCTTTTCCTTGGAATGTTATGTGCGAGGACAACCTAAAATTTAAAAAAAAAATACAATTAGAAATTCAGAGGAGGAAGAAAGTTATAGGCGGAGGTAATTTTGATCCTAAAATAGGTCAGAAAAATATTCATATGATTTTGAAACAACAATGAAAGTAAATTACTAAGAATATCTTGTCTGTGTACAGTGAGGGATCATTTAAAAATATTTTCAGACTTAGTAAACGTTCCTGATACAGACAAAATTGAGTGTCCCTGAGAAAGACCGAGAAATTTGTCCACTTCTTTTTGCAGCTTGCATCTTAACTACTTAACGTGCCACTCGCAAAATAGCTAGCACAGCAGACTTTCCCTCTACCTTAAACTGTTACTTGCCGGTGGTGTTGCTTGTTGCATAACTCAATATATAGTAAAATAGAAAATTTCAGGTCATTCATATTAATGGTCAAATTGAGCAACCACATACCTCCATTGCTATGTTTCAGAATGTTTACACCGATTTTATTTCCTCCAAGAGAAGCACGCCAACTTTATTGCTTGAAATTTATACAGAATATTTTGTTAAGGAAACCAAGGATGTTTTAAATAATTTACATTGACTGCTTTTCCGAGGAAAAAATAAAGTATGACAGGAAGTCAGTAATATCGCTGTCATGGTTCTATACTTTGGCTATTGATATATTATCTACGATTTTTGGCTTACTTTGAAATCATCACATTTTCTCCAAATATTTTAGATTATTCATCTCCCTTTGGATAAGTGCTCTTCAAGCATCAAGTGAAGAAGAACGAACAATGAATGTTATCTTACCTCATTGTCATTATTCTGAATCAAAGAAGACCCTGCTCCGACAGGCGATAAAGGCGACATCAACTTTCGAATACTTGATGGTGTTTGAACTCTGGGTTGCTCCGGAGTGGCGCTCATCGATGAGTCTTGAAACGACACAGAGCGAGGCTGCCAACTCCTAACAGAGGCTCGGTTTGTTTGCGCTGACTTGAGAATAGACTTGGGTGTCACGTTCGATGGGGATGCAATGGAGGGTGTCACTGGCTCTGGTGATGCCCATGAAGAAGCTGGCGACTGGAAGCTACTTTCGTCTGAAGGAGTTCCTTGAGCTGCGCTTGGAAGTACTTTGCTTGCGATGTTTGAGATAATCCTATGAGTGAGCGAGGGCTTTTCTGGAGAGACTGAACTGATGTTGTTCGTGACGTCTTTGAGTATGCTCTGTGTGAAGATAAAGAGAAAATTTAAACATACAAAATAAATAATACCGACTTACAATTGAATTTGTGTAACAGCAAAAGTCTTTGAAGTAGTTTGCAATTAGTTTTTTTCAAATTTATAGAGAGCTTTATAAATTTAAATTTGAGGCACTGGTCTCAACATGTAATCAGGAAATAAACTAGAACATGGATGAGCTTTCAAAAATACTCCCTTTCTTTGACAGGTAATCCTCATTTACTTTTTCAGCAGCAAGTCTAAAAATGACCCTGATTTTTCTCCATTACCCACCAATTTGGCGTGACTTTGAAATTTTCTTCAAAAGATAGGCTTTTCCTCGAAACATCAGATTCAGCGGCCAAAAGTATGTACATAAGTAAGCATACAACGCACGCCTGAAACAATTTCCTTGCTGTTCTTAATGAAGAAATTTTTCCTGTTAAGTTAATGACATAATCAACCCATTTATCACTTTGTTAAGCTGATCGAATTGTTTTTCGTCTTAAAGTATGGGCAAAATTTTATCCTCAGGTGTCTGATGGAAATACTTCCACCTTTTACATGGTACTACAGTCAAAAACGACCTTAGCCCCTTCTTTTGAATTTGTAGTAGACTGGAATTTAATGATTTCACTGTAAACCATCTAGGATTCTTTCTGACTAATGAGCAAATTTCAGACACTTTTAAGTCGTTCAACTTATTCTGAGTATGTGAAATTTTGGTGGGGAAAAGACAGTGTGTGCTTACTCTATCTGAGGGTCCTACTAAATGAGGAATAAACTACTCACCGTGTCTTTACAAGGGGCAACTCCCACCATTATGCTACCGCTGAATACTTTTCCATTTTGGTAAACAGCTCTGCGGGCATCCATTTTGGAATAATAGCGGATATTCATCCAGTTCCCATGGTTTGGCTGCTTTGTTTCTTCTACTCGTCCAATTTGAGAAAAATACGCTAAAACGAGAGATGCTGCTGATGGTGGGAAACCGAAAACTGTGACCCAATGTTCTGCTGATGCCGCTGGTGATTTTTGCGCCCAGCTGTTGTCGGTATTGTTTTCTGACACAGTCTGACTTTGAACTACAGGGCTGCTCATTCCCATTGGACTGAAGGAATTCCTGAAAATAATCCAAAAATATAATTTTCTATCAAATTTAAAAAAAGGACCAAAAAAGATCAGAATTAATAGACTGGTCCATACTAACGATTAGTCATAGATTTTGTATTGGATATTTTATGTTTTTTGGGTCTTCTTTCACATTAAAAATGCTTATGAAAATCAGTCAAGCTGGTCATCAAATATGTGTGAATGAAAACACACCTACTTAGAAACTTGGGAATGCCCAAATTTCATTGATAATGCCCATTTTTCCTTAAAGGCAATGAAGATGGCGCAGCAATATCAATTTGGGCCTTCAAAGTGTCCCAAAATACTTGCCCTTTGTCACCAAAAAGCTTTCCTTAGGCCAACTCCTTCACCTACTGCAAAGTTTTTTGTCTCTTGAGCATTTTCATTTCTCCCCGTTGGTGTGTTTTTATTTTTATTGATCCAATTATGCTTCTAAGACTTGTTTTAATACATTTTATTTCAAGGTTTATTTTCGTAAGGAATTGATGATGGTGGCTGAAATTATTTCTGATTGCCATCAAGGTTCAGTTAATGATATAAAGTATGCATCCGTTAAGTATGTACCTTCTGATTGCTTGGCGAGCGCCTGCTTGAAGCCGGAAAGTGTCAGCACCCCTGCTTTTAGGCAAGTCAAATGAGTGGAGAGTGTCGAATAAGCCGACAGTTGGTGGACCACCAGGCTTTTCTTTCACTTCTTGTGTTGCCCTGAAACATATAAAAGAACTCATCAATGCAACATATGGAATACAGAGCAATGTTTTTCAATTTTCAAGAGTTTTACTTCCTAATGAGATTTAAAAATGGATTTCTATAAATAGGAGTGACAACAAAAAAACCCACAGGTATTCCAGTAGAAAAGTAACAATTTATTTCTACACTGAAATGGAGCCTACATCACTGCTGCAGTGCTGCAGATTAAAGTGAAGGATAGGCATTAGAATTTTTTTAAGAGTTGTCCTTAAACGTAGTTTCTCCGTGTTCTAACAATGAAATAAATTTGCTGTTTTTAAAAGGAAAATACTGTGGTGCAAGGTTTCTTTAATTTTTTTATTTTCTAATTCCCTGACCTCTTGCTTTTTGACTCCAAAATTTCCGAATTCTCTGACCTTTGAATAAAATTTCCACTTAGATTTTGTGTCTCTAATTGCTAAATTTCTCATCTAGAGATTCAAATTATGGAAAATGGCGATCACAACATGTTTGCACTCTCTCAAATGACACTAACTGAAGTTGCTGAGTTGATATCTTACTCACAAAATTCCTTGACTTCCAGGTTTTCCAGACCTCCAGACACTCTGAAGATAAAAAAGTACTGCTGGAAAAAATGTTTTACATTACTTAATAGTGATTAAAATTATAAGAATGAGAATGATTGAGTAAAATTTGTGGTTTTGACTGGACAGTGAACTGTTTCAGTCATCCACTTTATGAAAATATGAACCGAAATCTAAGAGGGGACTAAAAGTTACTGCAGTACGAACAATATTCCCCATACTAATTTGCTAATCTTGTAAAAATGATTATTTCTAGATTTACAAACCTATTAACTTTATCCATTTTTTGGCTTAGACTCAAACTGAAAGACTCGTTTGTGGCATAGGTCGGAGAGCGGGTGGTCCGTTTGGTGGGGCTGCTTGATGAAAAATGAGGCTGCTCACTCCCCATGAGGAATGACGGGAGGTAGGCGGAAGAGTTAGGCGACACAAGGGGTGAATTCGCCGGACTCACCATCGGAGAGCCAAGAGTCATGGGTTCCATTTTCAAACTGGAAAGAGAAAGATAAAATAAGCACATTACTTAAAAGAACGTATAGAAATTAACGAGATGGCACATGCTTTGTACGTCTACTACAAAGACATATAGACGGAGCACTAGAAGAAGAAAATTATGCAAATTCATGCAAACTCTCCGATTGGCGGCGAAATCAGGACAAGTTTGAAATTCAAACATAGGGTGGGAACTGAATAAAATTGCGTAAACAAAGTATTTTAGGTTGATTTTTGCTCAGATTCACTGACCCACATATATTTTTTAACTTTAGGTTATATTTGGTCCATCATCGACCGATTAATCTAATTCGGGAGAAACAGTCACTTAGGACTGTAATGGCCTGTTTGAACCAGCAGGACCATCATGAGCAAAAGAAAATCTAATTTTATCTGAGATCCTGGCTTATTACGGAGCCAAATTAGGTTTATTACAAAGAGTACCCGTCAAAACGTCATTCATATGTTTGTTTTGAGCATTTAAAACAAGTTTAGAGCAAAAAATGTGCAAAAATCAAGAGAACAGGTTCAAATCAAATGTCCGTTTGCCGCCAAGGATTCCCCTAACACACTCACACAAACGCAGAGCACCAGGGCTGCATCACTTCTCCCCTGTGTGAGTGGATACGAGTGCTCCATCTCTATGTCTTTGGTCTGCTACCACTAAATAAACTTCACCCCTTTTGAAACCACCCTGCTCTAAATCCCTGTTGGGTGAGATCTCTCTCATAGGTCTCTTTGCAGAAAGTAAACCAATCACTGACTGTTTACCGGCCTCATTACATAAAGTTTTCACTGAGAATCACCTCATTGGTACAGTATCGTTATGAGATGGTTTGTGTGCTGCGTAGTGGCATAAAAATAATGTACAGCCAGAGTCGATATTGCGCTTCTTAAATGACAATCCTTTTGTACTCTGAATTACATTGCAAAACTCTATACGCTCAATGGCATTCGACTCAATCTAGAGCAACGAGCGCGAATTGGTGATTACTTACCAACATGCAACTAGGAATCATGAGGACCACAGACAGATGACAAAGATAATTACTAAAACAACAAGATGCCAGAGAGGAGAGTGTTAACGAATGTCTTACTTTTTTGGGGTAAGAAAGTGCGTGAATATACGGAAAACTTGTCAGGCACTGGGTAGCTCAGAGCGAATAAAGATATCCCAGTTATTGACCATTGACAGACATAAGGAGAGGTCTCCGCAAACTTGGAAGTGTCAAGCAACGACGGAACAGAATCAAGAAACTAAAAACCAAACTTACGTTAAGTTATTCGGCTTTCTTCTGCAGACCTCACGTTCGAACGACCACACGAACGAAGCTTTCAGCTTATCAGCATCAGCACATCAGCTTTTAAAGTTCTGTAGCAGTGAATGACATGCAGCACAACAATAACCTAACCTACAAATGAAGATGGCGCCATGGCGGTTGTCTCTGCATGGCGGTTAATTTTGACTGCCATCTTTCTACCTACGTCACTAGTTACGTCCAAAATGCATCCCAAAAAAGAGGTCAAGGTCGTCTTTACGGTGCAGGATTGCACTTTTTACGAAAAATAAAACCTTCAAAATTCATGGGAAATATTTCATGAAACTTCAATTATCTACAATGCATTGAAAAATACTTTTCGATATAATGTTCAAAAAATTATGGAATTTTCTAACTAAACTTCAGAAACTTCAGCGGTCAACACTACCTATACTAGTGGTATGGATTTTTTTTTCTTTCTTTTTTTTCAAATTTTTATCCTATTACAAAATTCCTTGAAAATGTCAAGAAGTGTGGGTTCAGTACTTACCCATAGTTCTTGAAAACATTTCTTGATGTTTTCTTCATAATTTTCTCTCTATTTGCCTTTCTCGGGTTCCATCTTTTAACAGAGGTCTAAACAGCATAGGTATCGATGGTGAAAGTGCAGATAGTGCGTAGGTACGGCCGGGGGTGACCACATGGGCCGCATCCCATGGCGGCAAATTTAGGGGGCGGCAAAGTTTGCAATTTTTTTAATTGTACCTAGGTATAAAAAAAAATCGGATTCAGAAAAAAATTACAAACTAGAAAAGGCGACAAAATCTCTCATTTCCTGAGAGTATGGTAAGTAATTTCTAATTTTGTGGTCTTTTGGTGATATAAGAGACAGGACCTTTAACTATAAGAGTTAAGAGAGAAACAAAACACGCAATTTGGCCTGATGCGGCGCGGCGCAGAGAGCAATGATGACGGGGACTTATATGAAAAGGAGAAGCCCTCGGCGCGGCGCGGCGGTCGGCATGTAACACATCAGCGCCTACAAGACTGCATGAATACTTCACGCATTGCGTCAAACACAATGCGCTCAGCTCAGCGATCGGTGTGAAACGCATAGCGCCTACAAGACTGTAGGAATACTTCACGCATTGCGCCAAACGCAGTGCGATCAGCGCGGCGTGGCGGCGGAAGTAAAAATTATTAAACCACATTTATTTTTGTTCTTTCATAATTTTTTCGTTCAATATTAATAAATGGAAGGCCTTGTCTACACAGAGGTAGGCTTACGAAACTTAACTTTCGCGCAAAGTTCCGTGAACTTTTGCCAGTAGTGTTGACAGGGCATTCACAAAAAATGCGTCCAACACGAGTAAACGTCTTTGGAGTGAACGCGTCTTATGCACTCCTCCCCCGCTGGCACGTTCACTTGATGGTTGTTAGTTTATATATGATGTTTCAAAACGAATGAAAAGGCGGCGGCAGAATACAGGCGGCCCACGGGCGGCAAGTAGGTACCTAAATCCGGCCCTGGTGGGTACATCTCGATTTTTGACAGTTTTAAGTTAGCTGCATAAACGTGTTGTTGATGTCGTCTACCTGCCAGCTAGAGACTTTGATCGAAAAAAATAGGGAAGTCACCTACAACAGAAGAACTTTTTTCGCGTATCTCGGGCTTATGTGCAGAAATACGTAGGTAACTCGTTCGGGTCCCTTCACTTGATGCGGCGCGCCTTCCGCGCAACGCGCCCTCCTACGGATTCCCCGCCTACCGAATTCGTAAGCTCGTAAGCTCTGCCGTGCTAGGGAAATACGCCGTATGATCGTTCGCGAGTTGCAAAATTTCCTTCGCTAAAATGTCTATTTTTAAGGAAATTAATGTTTATTTCCGTCTAAAATTTTCAGAAATCTAGGGTGAAATTGCGAACAAAAGTATCTGAAAAATTAGGAGAAAAAAATCCACTAGTTTACTGGGAAATTCGTGTTTTATTAGAGGAAACTTGACGATGCCTGAAGGTTCATACGGCGTTTTTCCTTAGCACGGCAGAGCTGTTCTGAATTTTTCTATATTTTCGGGAATTCGCTGGTTTTGAAGAGTTGCTGAATGCTTTTCATTCGAGGGCCCTCCAGTATCATTTCTTCATAGGTACCTATTAGGCACTAGCGGCACGAGGCGTTCATGTCCATTATTCACTCTCTGGGCAAATGCAATCAAGAACTGGTGGTATTTACAACGGTTAGGTAGCCCCCTGGGGGTTGGACTTCTTGAATGTCAGGTGGAGCAGCCCCTCGGGGTTGGACTCCTTGGAAGCCAAGGGGAGCAGCCCCTTGGGGTTGGACTTCTTGGATTTCAGGTTGGGCAGCCCCTGGGTCTCTTGTATCCTGAAATCACAAATCGATGGCCAAAGTGCAAAACCGCATATCTCCGTCTACAGCATTACAGACTGTAAATCACACTCTATTTTTTTTTTGGAAAAACTAGTCGAGGTGCTTTCTTCAAAAATTCATCAATTTTTTTTTCTCTGTTGGCACATGATCCTGTAAAAGTTTCAAGCCATTAAGTAAGCTTGTTTCTCTTCGAAAAAGTCAAATTGAAGCAATATTTTTGAAACATCGCAACAGAGAAACTTTCGCACTTTGGCAATCAAAATTTTATACTATACGGGGATAGAAGAACAAAAAGACATTAGCACGGAACCTATCAAAGGTGCGTAGCCAGTCTATTAGTTTGCTCTATTCACAGAATATCTTGTCCTCAGTTATGATTTTTTTGTTTTTAGAATATTGGAACAATGAAAAATAAACTTTCACTGAAACTGAAAAGAATTAGTTAGTTTATTTAAAAAAAAATTACACATACAAAAAAAAAAATAGAAAATAGGGTTGATTCCAGTTAACCAACAATAGTGTAGAAAATTTAATAAAATGTAAAAAAAAATTAGAAAAAAGCCAGCACTGAATTTGTACTCACTCATTGCTAAAGATTCATGCTTGAATTTTTTTGAAACTCTTTTTCAGAGCAGAAAAATGCCCTCGATACGCAAGTAAGTTATGACCTGAGACTTTTTAATTCAGAGTTTCACAATAAGGGCAAAATACTGGTGGTAAAAGTAGGAGGATTTTTTACCGCATGAAGTCACAGCACAGCATAAGAAAATAGGTGTTGGAAAATGCAGAGTAACACAATATATTCCAGTCCCTCCTAAGGTTACGATTGACTGGGGATAAAAAACTACAGCTAACAAATTCTGAAAGCATTGGGGTAGCGAGAGGGAAGGGACGTTTTCAAATAGTTGCTAATGTGCGTCCAGCCGGCTTTGTCTGCAGTCCATTGCATGCTTTCTTCGATCGTTTTGTTAGGTTTGTCATCATTCAATTTGACTAGCAGTTTCAACAGCCGTCCGTAATTCTTGTGCACAGCAGCATGCCACAGTGCAAAATGATGAGTCCCCTGAAAATTAACAAACACATATTTGAGATTAGTGAAAATGATTTTTCAAACAAAACTTCTTTTTTTTCTTCTTTTCAGATTTACAGGCTACCCTGTATTTGATACCAACAACGAATTGCCTATTGGTAGGCATGTCGGTAATTCCCGGATTTTTGTAAATAGAAGAGAACCATTGACATTATTTTAAAATTTAAAACAATTGGTTAGGGACAACACTTTGAAAAAATACTGCTAAAATAACTATCACATGAACGGATTCAATTGAATCAGTCTAACTGCATTTCATATTGCCTGAATTTCTATCAGATTTTATTTTTTTTTTTAAGCAGAAAACTGAAGTACTTGACACTTTTAGATTGTACGTGAATTTGCCCTAGGTTATGAAGAGTATACTCACAAAATTTCTTTTCAATGTTGCTCAGTTTTCTGTTTAAAAAATAAAACAAATCAGAGTTTACTAGGCAACGTTTTAAGTAGTTGGGCTGATGATCGTTAATGTATCTGTAGTGTAAGTCGGCAATCACATAACTCGGTTTGCAACATTGCAGACTTCCTGCCATACTTCATGTTTTAATTGGAAAACTACTCAACAGCAATTTTTTAAAACTGGCGTGATATTTCTTTTCTGTGCAAAGAAAATTCTGCATAAACTCCAAGGAATGATGTCAATTTGTTCTTCTATAAAAAAATAACATAGAGGTGGAGATTTTCAGACACCGCAAACGAGATATGTGATTGCGGACTTATGCCGTCAATATGCTTCAGTTATGAAAGAAAATTTCAAGCATAGCGTTGATTTGTTTTCTTTTAATAAAATAAAATGGGAGCAAAGATTTTGAAACACCACAAAGGAGATACGCGTTCCTGCGGTTTAACAGTAAAAGTACTTTAAAATGTGAGATAAAAATCAAAGATACTAAATTTGACCGATTAAACAAGACTGACTACTGAGGAGATTTTCACAGTGATTATTGACATGGTAGAGGTTGCTTCTTTGAGGCTGAGCGAAAAGAGAAAAATAATTTCCTTACCTTTGGATCCGAAGCATCAACAAATTTCAAAATAAAGCACCAGAGATCATTAATGTTATTTAGCGAACATGCACTCCCCAAACTTTCAAATTCCGGATCAGATGTTCCTTTGCCTTCAAATTCAAGGTAATATCGGCACATGGCGACTCCGCGGCGACCAATAGCTTCGACTAAGATATTACGATTTTTTTCCATTTGGCTGAAAGAATCAGAAAATATAACCAAATTTGAACACAAAGTATGAGCACAATGAGTGTTTGAGAAATACTTGATTGATGAATGCAATCATAACTGCTTTCAATCATTTACTGCTAAACAAGTTTATCAGCGCTTCATAGAAAAACAGTCTTGACCTTTCTTCACAGACAGTTTTCTACATTAGTGGTGAAAGCGAGAAAGTTTTATGGCATGTATTTAATTGTTGACACGAAGTTCTACTTCGCATTGATTGAAAGTAAGGAATAATTAATATAGGATGTTTTAAGAGTGGACCATAGAAAAAAGTATGAATTTAGGCATTCCGATATACATCTCCTCTCTTCAAAATTTCTCATATAAAACGATTTGCACAATGAAAATTACAGCTTTTCACACATAACCAAGATATTAACATAATTACATATATAATAATACTCCTTGAACTACGTTCGAGGGGAAGATACCAGAAAAAACCAAATGGACCACTAGACAAGGTACGAATTACAGCATTCTGATTCATGTTTCTCAACCAAAATTCCACGTAGAACACGATGCGTACAACAAAAATTACCGAAATCAACTCCTTACGAAGATATTTAATGATTCTTGATGCGTGAATTCAGACCATCCGCTCATGAAAACTCAATGCTCTACGTGATTCACATCGCGCGCTAAATGTTTATCATGACAGTCTCTGCGATATAAAAATCTGGCGACCTCGATCTTGACGCTTTGGCTCAGCTATAGCAAATTACTTATAGTTTGAACAACACATGGTGGGAAATGAACATTGCTCGATTGAGAAGCTTGCTGAAACCATTGTAGTGTGCGATTTGACTCACGTAGAGCTTTGAGTTTCTTGTGAGTGGGCAGTTCAAATTCCTCGTGACCAATGTGTAATATAAACGTTAATATCTTCGTTAAGAGTAAGTTTTAGTAATTTTTGTTGTGTAAATCGTGTTTTACGTGAAATTCTGGTTAAGAAACATGTATCAGATTGCTTAAATTCGTACCTTGTCTAGTGATCCATTAAGGCCATGAAATCTGACCAAAAAATATTTGATGATAGCAGTTTTGCAGCAAAATTGCAGCAAAAACCTAGTTTTGTTAAATTTGGCATTTGAGAGAGGATTTAAAAATGAATATTGGGTATTCGTGCCCTCCTAAATCAAGAAATGAAGTCTGAAGCTTCATACTGGTGTCAAACCAAAGCTTGAAGGGATTACCTTTTAACTGAGGGGGCGTCTCCACTCAGATCGTGTTTCATGCCCAAAAACGCTAGTAATTCAGTCTGGTTGATTTTCCCCATGATCAACTCTGTTATTTTTAGTACCCGGCTGATAGTTGACAGGGTGCAATTACCACTCAGATTGAGAGAAGCTGTGTCTGGCTCTAACTTTTGCAGCAAAGCTAATTGTGCAGGCAAGTGATCTGGATATTCATTGATTACTTCATTGAACACCGTTTCTGCATCAGTTAAGCCATCTGAAAGAGAAGTAAAGGGTGAAAACCTGTTAACAACTTCTTTGTGACATTGAAAAAACAATCTGGTAGACTTTTGAATTATATTACCGGAGAAAAATTTATTATTAAGTTTCTAAATCAGTTACATCATTTTTGTTGCAATTATGTTTCTTTTTATGGGTACTATTTATTATTTTAAAGATCCGAACTAAGACTGTTGTTTTTCGCATGACGAACGTATCTTATCTGCTCTTCTACAAAATTCCTACAAACATTTCATTTTTTCATGGGAGAGCCCTCACAAAAATTGGTCTGAAAAATTCAGAGTCTATTCTCCGTAAAGAAAAATCACTAGAAATTTGACATTTCTGTGAATAAAGACATGTAAGTGCGAAATACTGAAACAACGCAATCAAGACTTGTTCCTATGTACAGAGTACAATGAAATAACCATGTAGCTTTACTAGTTTTTTGGGCTGCGAACGTTTCAAAGGAATGATTAGCTCACAAACAAAAAAGGTATGGGGAAAATTAAAAAAAAAAACTTAAAAATTCCCTTATCTATCAAAATTTTTTGATACTCTAATGTCACCTAGAATAGAAACAAATTGAAACACATGAAAAAAAAAAAATTTAACATTTATCAGAGACAATGGTAAGTTTGCTGTTTTAAATATCAGGTTTATTATTCAATATATGTGCATCATCTCAAAATAAGATCAGAGGGGATGAAAATTGCCCTCGGCTTTTTAAAATCTACATATATGTCCAGACATTCTGCATAGAAAATTTTTCAAATTTGAAGGATAAAATATCAGATCAGACTCATCATATCCATTATGTTGACCAAAGGTTAAACTTACCTAATTTTGAAATCCAACTGGTGATAAAATCCTTTTTGGCTTCCGTAAACTCATCCAGTTTGAGTTTTTCTTTTTCTCCTGATTTGGAGTTGTTTTTTTTCACAGGTTCAGTTAAAATATACTTAAACGGATAAACGTCCTGAAAAGTAAATACAATATTAAGACTCATGAAATTTACTGGCAATGAGAAATTTTCAAGTTAAAATCTCTATAATTGGTCTGTCTCAAACTTGCTAGAACAAAAAGAGGAGCTGCTTTATGGTGAATGGCTCCAAAATGACGATGATTGCGGTGAGGAGGTCAGGAATTTGCTTTTAACTTCACAACCTGCCAAAGAAAGCTCATGTTTTAGCTTTATAAAGTGTGCTGAAGTTCTAAGGAAGAACGCTGTATGAGCCTTCAGACGTTGTCAAATTTTCTTTGACAAATTATACATTTTTGGGGAAATTGTGATTATTTTTCTTTTGATTTTGCAGAGAATTTTGGTCATGCTTTGATCCTAAGTGTCTGAAAATTACGAAGAAAACTATTCGTCACTTTTTGCAAAAATAAATATTATCTGAGAGGAAATTTGGCAACATTTGAATTCTTGTACAGCGTTTTTCTTCAGCTTGACAGTGTGTTACAGTAAAAAAATAATTTGATACAGATGATTCACCCCAGTTTGGCATTGATGTTCATGATTTTTCGATTTTTTTCGGATACGTAAATCGTATTCTTGTCAAAATTTATATGAGTGGTGTGACCAACTTAAAACTTACTATCTGCAGTAATTTATATTTTTTTTATAGTATTTTTGTACTTTTGTAAGGTTTAACATAAAACAACCTTAAATTTTCCTGATTTTTGGTTATTTCAAATTTTTTTTTTTTCATTTTGACAGCAAGAAAAAAACAACATGAAGGCATTATGTCTAAATTTATATCCAGCTTCCTTAAAAAACCGATTTTGAGTACCCGTTACATCAATTTTGGTCCCTAGGGAATAAGTTTCAGGAATATTTTGCATTGTTTAAACTTTGTGTACGTTTCAGCCACAATTAATGAACGAGTCAATAGTTGGTGCGGTCTTTTTAATCCCCTACAGAGAGAAAAATTAAAAATGACCATGATACTTACTACTTTCTTTCCAGTTTCATCTTTAGAAAATGAAATATTTCCACTCAAAAACTGTCCTGGTGTGATACTTTTGATCAATCTGTGCAAACAAAGGGTGAGGTGTATTAGATATGCTTTCATGGATTCATGATTAGGGTCATTCCATATAGAACCTACCAGCCATGCAACCGCCCGACTCGGATTTTGATGATAAATTTTTTTCTTGATCAGACCACCAAATAATGAACTTCTGCAAAATATTAGGTCTCAAATCAAAAAACTCACTGAGATATGAATTTTGGAAGTTTTAAGAATTTTCAAGAAAGAGACCTTTCGAACTTCCGAGAAAGAGAGGGTCATTTTCCCCAAAAAAATTCATCCCGGGCCCATTTTTCGTCGGATTGAAGTGAAAATTTGACACAATGTCCATGAAAGTATGTAAATTTGAGAATAAAATGCATAAAGTGTTCGACTTCACTCATTGATGTGCTGCGGTTGATAGTTCGTTGTGATTTTGTCTGATTTTAGCGACAAAACCTTCCCCTCTTCAAATGCTCATAACTTTTGAGCTGCAAGTTATTTTTTGCTCCAATTTTTTTTAAAATGCTCCTAAGAGTATTAGGAAGACTCCTAAAAAACAATTCTGATGGCGTTTTGGGCTTTAGTATCTTTTTTTTTCACTTTTGTCCGAAAAAGGCCTAAAAAACTGGAAATAACACCAAAATTGTTCCGATAATCGACCATTACCCTGAAAAGTCAACTCAAAAATCGCTCAATTTTTGCCTGAATGGTCCTTACTGTGTGTACAATATGTTTAAAAAATAAAATCAATGGTATTTCGGGTTTATATATCTTTAACTTCGAGTTTTTTCCGAAAAAAGGCGAGCAAAACTGAAAAACACTGAAATTACACCAATTATCGGCTCTAACGTTGGAGTAGCAACTCAAAAATTGCTCACATTTATACTGAATGGTTCTCACTGCATGTGAAATGCGTCTGGGGAATAAAAGTGATGGTATGTTGGGTTTCCATAACCCTTTTCCCAACATTTTTACTCAAGAGAGGCTCGCTCAACTGAAAAAAGCGCTAGGAAAATCTCATTAACCGACCATTACATTGAAAAAACAATTGATTGGGGGCCCAGATTTTTCACCAAAGGACTCTTGTTGTATGGGAAGCACACTAACTTGAGGAGTGAATATAGTGTATTCTTGGTTGTAGTAGTTTTCCCCTTCACTCCAATCTTTACGATCGGCTTTAAAGTAAGGAAATAAAACTGTAGGTATCTCTTAACTGATAGGCATCTGTTATGGAATATGAGTATGTCACGGGTGATAGACTCAAATTCGTTCTACATGATTTTTGTACATATTTTTTCCCACCCTTTAAGAGTGAAACCCTTGCTTGAGATGTTGAGGAAATAAATAGTTGACTCAATTTTTCAAAACTATAATTACAATACTTCAACTCTAGTCAGCATGAATAACCTCCCTCAATTTTTAACAATTTAATGTTCTGATAATTCCTATTAGAACTTTTTATCTTTTCCATTAATTTTTATTTCAGAATACATTTGAAAGTTATTAACCTCATTATGATGCCAACCAGGAGTCAGTAAATCACATTAAATGTGAATAGGGATGCTGTCAACACCTTCTCATCTTTTTGCCTTACATTTTCGAATATTTCTTATTAATTTTAGAACACTCATTAGTGATGGCTGGATTTCGTCCACTTTTGTCTTCTTCACCCCTATCTCCCAGCCATCACCAAGAATCACCCATAAATTTAATTACTAAACTTGCAGCTGATAACTACATAGATTATAGCCAACCAATCTTGTGTAGGCTTGTTGTCTCACCACCCGTGACCTCAGCAAGTCTACATAAGCGTGCGCTGCCCTAAAACCTAGGTCTGTCTGTCTTTTCTCATCTCTTAGACCCCAGGTTCTTTACCATCTAGACCCGTACAAGTACGTTTGTGCCCACTCTCGCCTTCTTGCACATTTTCTGAGTGACAATTTTCTTTACTGTTTAACTCTTGTGATTCTGTGCTATCTCTTTTGACTCAGTACAACTCTAAATTTCATCTCCAAAAATTCAGTATCTATAATTCTCAATCAATTCTAGTAGTTTTTTGATTCTACCTTTTATTAAAAATCAACTGGTGCCGAACAGTCTCACAAACTTTCAACCCGAATTTGAGTCTATCACCCGTGACATACTCATATTCCATAACAGATGCCTATCAGTTAAGAGATACCTACAGTTTTATTTCCTTACTTTAAAGCCGATCGTAAAGATTGGAGTGAAGGGGAAAACTACTACAACCAAGAATACACTATATTCACTCCTCAAGTTAGTGTGCTTCCCATACAACAAGAGTCCTTTGGTGAAAAATCTGGGCCCCCAATCAATTGTTTTTTCAATGTAATGGTCGGTTAATGAGATTTTCCTAGCGCTTTTTTCAGTTGAGCGAGCCTCTCTTGAGTAAAAATGTTGGGAAAAGGGTTATGGAAACCCAACATACCATCACTTTTATTCCCCAGACGCATTTCACATGCAGTGAGAACCATTCAGTATAAATGTGAGCAATTTTTGAGTTGCTACTCCAACGTTAGAGCCGATAATTGGTGTAATTTCAGTGTTTTTCAGTTTTGCTCGCCTTTTTTCGGAAAAAACTCGAAGTTAAAGATATATAAACCCGAAATACCATTGATTTTATTTTTTAAACATATTGTACACACAGTAAGGACCATTCAGGCAAAAATTGAGCGATTTTTGAGTTGACTTTTCAGGGTAATGGTCGATTATCGGAACAATTTTGGTGTTATTTCCAGTTTTTTAGGCCTTTTTCGGACAAAAGTGAAAAAAAAAGATACTAAAACCCAAAACGCCATCAGAATTGTTTTTTAGGAGTCTTCCTAATACTCTTAGGAGCATTTTAAAAAAAATTGGAGCAAAAAATAACTTGCAGCTCAAAAGTTATGAGCATTTGAAGAGGGGAAGGTTTTGTCGCTAAAATCAGACAAAATCACAACGAACTATCAACCGCAGCACATCAATGAGTGAAGTCGAACATTTTATGCATTTTATTCTCAAATTTACATACTTTCATGGACATTGTGTCAAATTTTCACTTCAATCCGACGAAAAATGGGCCCGGGATGAATTTTTTTGGGGAAAATGACCCTCTCTTTCTCGGAAGTTCGAAAGGTCTCTTTCTTGAAAATTCTTAAAACTTCCAAAATTCATATCTCAGTGAGTTTTTTGATTTGAGACCTAATATTTTGCAGAAGTTCATTATTTGGTGGTCTGATCAAGAAAAAAATTTATCATCAAAATCCGAGTCGGGCGGTTGCATGGCTGGTAGGTTCTATATGGAATGACCCATTAGTATATTTTGATAATGAGCAAGAAAAGAGTGATTTTAAAAATATGTGGTCCATTTGCCCTGGACACTTGTAATAATATCCAAAGTTCACCTCCGAGTCGAAGGTAACCTGGCCGAATCCACACACATACTGTTCTGAAAGTGGTTATTGGTAAATTCTTGGGTAAAAGAAATAATACAACAGGGAATATTGCAGATAAAAGTTCTAGAACAAAAAAAATACCCTTAGGACTTTGTCGTCCAAGGAGATATAGCTAGTAGAGTCAAAGAGCTTGGATTCTTTGTAACCCAAAATTTTTTCTAAAGAGGTAATCTTTTAAACTTGGAAATTTTAGCCTTCAGACCTTCTTCATAGGAAATTTTGGTCATAGATGCTCCCTGCCCCATAAAAAAAGACCACACACACTTAATTCAGTTCTTTTCCGCTGTTCCAACCTTGCCTCACTCCTCGAACCTGAACATTTCCCCACCATTTGGTTTTGACAACTCCTCTGGAAAATGCTTCAGACGTGACTGCGATTGCAAGTATCTTTCCACCAAGTAGCATATTTTGGAAGTTTTTATGGCATCTCAGGGTTCAGAATTTGGTGCGCATGGTCCTTCCTGCCTACGCCAATGACCAATTATTTGCATTAACGCAATATTAATAAGCATTCACATAAATCTAATAAGCACACCTTCAAGTTACAATGCGTAATGAGACTTACTTATCATTGGGGAGTGCAGCAAAATAAACATTGAAGGGACTTTTTCCTCCGTGAATGATAGCAGAGGTTAGTTTACTTTCACCAGTGGTTGCTGCGGATTTTGAGCTGTAGACATCCAGACTTATTGAGTTGGGCAACTTCTGAGAGCAAAATAACGGCAAATCCACATACTTCTCTAGCAAGTCAACCTTCTCGTGTCTTATTTGATGCTTCACGGTATAGTCACCTTTTTCTAACTTCGTCACCCACTAGAAATTTAGAAATTTATGTAATAAAAGATATATATTCTTAAAAATATAAAAACTGAAAGAATATTTTTGAGAAACAAGGACACAACCTGGTAAACTTTGATACATTGACATTTCATTTAAGTTGCTGATTCATTCTAGACTCAGTCAATAGGGCTATTGCCAATCTTTTCCCCCTTTTTCTCATTTTCCAGAAGTACTTAAGATATCAAGAATCCTACATCTGCCTATTTTTCATTCAATCAAATTTTAGCTGAGAGACTGGCCAGCAAACTCGCCAAAAATCCAATCTCACTTCAAATGGAAAGGTATTGTGCCAACAAATTTCATGAAGTCGTAAGCAGAATTGGCTGCTGCGTATATTTTCCTCTGTGTTTGTTGATTCACTTTGAAATTGCAACTGTATCGAAAGATAATGTACCTTGACGGTGCATGCAGTATTATTCGCAGCTTAAGGTGAATATTTCTAACATTTTTTCTAGATGTAACTTCAATTTGTGATGTAGATCTTACGTCCGCTATGTTACACTGACTTCATAGTGGCTGAAACTATGGGTCGTCGCTTTACATGACATGAGTTTCTGGCTGATGAGAAACATTCTTTTAAGTGCTATAACTTTAAGCCCTTTTTTTTAAATAAGGAAATTATGATAAGGTCACTTAATTTTGAGAACACATTGGAGGCATCTTGAAGCAAAGGGAGCAAAATCCATTTTGCTGATTAGCCCCACGACGCCAGTATTCTTACATAATGCAGAACTCATCAGCAAAAAGGACTTTGCTCTCTTCACTTCAAGATGCCTCATTTCGCAATAAAATTTATTATATGAACAGCTATTTTGAAGGAAATTTTTTGACATAAAACAGCTCCTGAGCTGCAATTTATTCTTTCCTCTAAAATTAAATATGAAGGTTTCTAAATAAATGTTTTAAGTACTATACAACCAGTTACGGTAAGACCTTGAATTATCGGATCGCGATTTAACGGATTTCGCGATTTAACAAATCGATCCTTCGGTCCCTTCAAAGGGACCGACTAGCGCGATTTAGCGGATTTCGCGATTTAACGGATTCGGCCTTCAGTCCCGAGAAATCCAATAAATCGAGGTCTTACTGTACGTAAAAAAAAAAAAAAAAAAAAAAAAAAACTGAGTTTTTGTTTGTTTGAATAATGATACATGAGAGTTAGCAACGCAGTAGAACTTTAAGAAAATACTGATACACCTAAAAACCATTCACATTCTTATTACTGCTGAAAAGAACAGGAAAAATTACTGAAGATTGTAGAAAATACAATTTCCTGACGTTTCCATGTCAAATTTTGGTAAAATTCCCTGACAATTGAAGATATGCCGGGTGGTTAAGAAGACATAATTTGACATAATTTTCAGGCAAACTTCGTTGTTAGAAATGTCAAACCTATTCTAAAGGGAAATCAAGGTGATTTAGGAATTTTCCCCCGACACTTTCATCATTTTCCCGATCATTTTCAGATTTTCTTTGACTTTTTAAAAGTCCCTGATATTACCCAATATTCCCTGACTAACTAAGGTAACCCTGTGCAAAGCACTCTCACACTAAGAAAGTCGAAAATGGGAAAGAAATGACCTGACAAACAGAAAAACTTTGTAAATGAATGACCTTACCCTGTCAGCATAGGAGCCACCAGTGTACACAAGTTGTTTGTTGGAGTCGTAAATAAACCATATCTGTGATTCGAAGTCTGATTCATACAAGGCATCACTCAATAGACCATTAATCAGTACAACTTTGGTCCCTTTATGAACATGGAACGAATAATTGAGCATGAGCTGGTAGATCACTCTTTTTTCAGGTATGGTATCTCTATCTGAGAGGAGTGGTGTCACTTTAGCTGAAGTTGGCCGTAGAACTGAAACATTGTGGTTTAGCTTGACAGAGGGTGCAATGTCCTCTCGGACGTTTGACTGTACCATAACCGAATGGATACCATCAGCATGGTGCATTGTGATTGAGGATTGGTTTGGTCTTGCACCAAAGAACTGAACTGAGAAGTTCAATGAAAAATTCCCTTCTTCCGACCAGAATTTAGCTATTGCTATCTCCAGCACAATACCACCCTGCAAGAGAAAATTCTGACGTCAAAAATAATTTTTGAGTAAGTATATAAGTGGATTTTATTGATTTTAAATCAGGTTGTACACCTCACTTTCTACAGCTGTTGAGTAATGAGAATTAAAACTGAAAGTTTTACAAAAGCCTCTATAGAAATGCAAATTTTACTGAGGCTCTGTAGAATTCTTATGTTCCACAAAAGCATCTACAGATTAAAGATAAATTGCAGATATAATTCGACAATATATTATTTGACTTTCCTTAAGAGGAAAATTCCATAGGTCCTGCACATTTTTCAAAGAAAAATTCCACAGGTTCTGCGCTTTTTTTTTTTTTAAATGAGATCTGTAAACCAAAACTACCTATTACTTTTTTCTTTTTTTTTCAAAATATACTAGACTTTTAAATTTTTGCAGCTTCAGAGGTGCTTGTAATTTTTTGCAGATCTTGCATTTATGCTCAACAGGTTTTAATGTTAGAATATTGAGAGGGCCCCTGAATAATTGCCTTTAATTATAAAGCTGCCGATGATTCTAAATTGAATTTAAATTTACCTGAACTTTGAAAGGCAACTGTTGGTCAGAGTCTGCTGTGATTTGAGTCATTTTGTGGAATTCAAGAACTTTACAAGATTTTTTAGGCTGCGTCTGCACACAATGAATCATGAACTTCGATGACTTGTCCTTATCTACACCTCTAAGTTGCATGACTGAAAATACAGGAAAAAGTCATGATACATGACATAGCAGATGACAAAACAAATTAAGTGCAATCCAAAAAGAGCAACTTTAACATTGGACAACAGTATAAAAAAAAGTACAAAAAAATGATGTAATTCAAGTATAGGTAGAATACATACTCTAAACTATAAATAAGCTAAAATTGTTATGTAGGCCTTGTATGAAAATTTTTTGAACAATTGCCTGGCAGAGAGGTGTTGGTATCCGTCTATCTCTTGCATTGTACAAAGGTGGCTTATTTTGCATTGCCGTTCCATAGAAAAACCAAGACATTCATTTTTACCACTAGTGGTAAACTGTGGGAGGAAGATGGCAACAGAGCACAAGACAAAAAATTGAAAAACTAGGGGAAATTCATGGATGAAAGTTATGCAGATTTGTGGCACCAAAATCAGAACAGTATGAAAGGACCGAGATGGTTCAGCTGTTGTCTGTCCTTTCTGATTTTATATTGGGCTGCAACTGACTTTCATTACTACTAAAAAGTGTTGTCTTTTTCCAAGTCCAACCAATTTTATGTCAAAGGACATAATATATTTGTATTTTGGTCCGAGTACAATGTTATTATTCATTAAAACAATACCAATGGATAAAATATTATATGTTACTTGAGTTGGGCCGAAACGGATTTTCTGCGTCACCAGATATAAATACCAATTTTTTGTACCCAGTCGAAGCCAGTTATTTGATAATTTGCTGAAATATCCTGCCAAAATCTGATATGTAATACTAGATCCAGGAAGCGCTTTCTAGTGTGAGAAAAAACTCCCTATTTTTTGTGCTTAAAGTGTTTACTCTAACCCCTCTGAACATGGAATGTACGTTTTCCTAAATGAATGTAATTAAGAACCCTCCAAAAATTAACAAAATTAGTTTTCTTTTCCCTCAACCTCACTCTCCCCTCGTTTCACTTAACCTCTCTTGCTTTAGACCTGGATTTTGCTGCTGAGAATAGACTCATACACCCACTCTCATTCATTAAATGTTTTAGTTATCAGTATCGTACTCATAAGAAACACCATCCTTTGAAAGATGCCACAAAAACAAGAGTTTGCTAATAACTGAGAAATGATCATCTAAGACCCAAAAATTTGAATAAAGAAAATGAGTGTAAACTGGAGACCTACCTGCCCAAGTTGCAGTATCTGGGGTCAGGATGAAAAATCGTTTGATTTCATGCTGTTTAAAGTCACAGTTGTTAGATTCTAGTAGATACTGTTTCGTAGGTCCCAGAGGGAATGTAATAGGCTGAAACACTGTCACTTCAACAGTGAATACAGGTCCTCTTTCAGGGTTTTTACAATCATAGGCACGAATCCTGTACAGACATGAACAGGAAAACAATTAATGATTAAGCAAGAAATTTCACTGACTTTTAAGTTCTGTCTTTTAAGGCAGAAGGAAATGAAATTATTTCAAGAACAATTTCAATAGAATTCACCTTTTGAAAGATGAATTGATATTGTTTTCATAACATTTTATGGGATTTACTTTGTATGTTTCGGCTGTAACTTAAGGAGACTTCTATTTTTGAGTAGGGTTCCTTAAAATCCTCATAGTTGGGTTATCATTGCACACTTGTTCAAAAACTAAGACAACAGCAGTGTTGGATTTGATAATTTTTACACCAGTTTTGGAAGCAAAAAGAAGAAAAAATCAATTCCCACAGATTTCACAAAGCAAATTCATAGATTTCAATTTTAAAACTTAGAACTTCAATTTACATTGCTGCAAAAACATGAGGGTTTAAATTTGAGAATGAGATTCAACATTAATAAAAGTGAAAAAATGGACAAATGCTCTTTCAGTTGGAAAAGGGATAAACTGGTATTGATTTTAGCTCCAATTTGCAGCCTAGATTGATACCTTGTATTATGCACTCCTGGTTGTAGTCCGGAGGGATCAATTCTAACTGACAAAGGCCGTGCACAGTTCATAATTTCCAAATGACGTGAACAACTAATCCAAGGGACATCACAGACTAAATTCAGACTTATTTGAAACTGAAGCTTTTTTTCTGGATCTGAAGAAAAGAAAAGGACCAAATTAAAGATTACTTAATTGAAAATAAATAACTGGAATAATTCAATTAGGGAGGACCACCATACAACTATGGGGTACAAATCAGAGTTGCCTAAGCCATAAGCTGCCTTTCAAAATGGCATAGGGAGGAGAGTGATGAGGTCTGGTATAAAACTGCCCCGCCTCCCCTTTTAGAACGTTTGCTAAAACAGCATTGATGGTAATCAAAATGTTGATAGCCAAGGCATTTGGGTGCAACTGATTTTACTGTTTCTTGCTATACAACAATGGTATTATAGTGTCGTAACCAACTGACATGGCAAAAGCTGCCGGGTGAGCGCCAATCGTTTTAAACGACAGGTTGCTCTCTGCTGATTACATCTATACTGGGAGAATTGACAATGGCAGTAAACATGTTAATGACTATTTTTATGTTCAAAATATTTATTCTTGAATTAGAATTTTTGACCAAAGCTAGTTACCAGTAGTTGAATTCAAAACTACTCTCAACTTATTTCATTCTGAAATGCGACAAGGTGCGTTTCCTTAAACTCAGTGCAAATGAGAACTTAAATCTAATGATCCAAACTTAAAAATGAAATGTAAGTACAAATAAACATTTTTCAAATCAAATCTGAAAGATATTTAACAAACATTTTCATTATTGTTACAAGAGGAAAAATTTGACAAATAATTTGGTAGGATACGTAAAAAATAAAAAATAGGAAACAATTAGTCTATTGCATGCAAGAGATACATCCAACTGAAAGCATTTTTCTAAGGTTAATTCCCTCAAAAATCCTGTTTGGCACACCAAAAAGTTTGAAATTCATTTCTTAGCGCGCAATCTGCATAGTTTATAGCATGCTTTCTCACATTTACCGCATATGCGCGCAGTTTTTCATAGTGGCCCGCAGTCAGGTTTGCCTAGAGAGAAACCTGACCTAAATAAATAAATAATCTCGCGAACTGTTATAAACCCGCCTTGCGTAAGATTTCAATTGATTCAAAACTGTAGTTTTTGCAAAATTAAGAAAGAAAAAGGAAACAAACACTTGAAAACGATTGAAATCTTAGAGCCGATAAAGTTAGTGAAATCGTTGGTTTATTCAAATAAATTATCCTTAGTCCTCTGCCTGTTCAAACCTGGTCAGCGGTGACTGATTAAAATTGCCGCAGACGTGGAAAACTTGAAAAAGCGTTTTAAAAACTATGCAGATTGCAAAGTAAGGAATGGATTTCAGATTTTTTTAACATGCCACTTGTGATTTTCGTATAATATTACCCACACATTGCACATCTATTTGGCTGTAGGTCTTGCGTGCAACAGACCCCTCGGCATATTTTCTTGATGAATCATAAAACTTACCTATTTTATCAGTATTGAAGAAAATTGGCTCTACCGTTACCAGATAGTCAACTGGGTCTTTTAAAATACCATATCGGAGGATGATTCCTTTGGCATTATTTGCCCCACATGTGACTCGAAACCTCACATCTCGCTCAGGTACATCTTGATAATTGTTGAGGTAGTCAAATGCTTTTTCAACCTGCATAGAGACACCAAAAGGGTAAAACCAGAATTATATTATTGTCTTCTAATAATTAGGAAAGAAAAAAGAAAAACTTAAGAGTGCTTCTGGGTAAAGTCTCCATGTGACACTGTAATAATGCAGTCATGATTTTTGGGGCATAAGGCATATAGGTAGACGTACTTTTGGACTTAGTTTTGGAACATCATAGGATCTTTTTTTAAATTCAGTGCTTAGTTCACCGAGAGATTTTTTTCTTCATTACGTTTACACAAAATAAGTTAAAAAAGATTACTGGAAAACTTTAAAGTTAGATCTATGAATAAATCATCTGATGTCACAATTCATAACACCACTAATGAACTTAGTCTTTGCTGATACTGAGTATGGTTGCATTGTTTGTGTTTTGAGGGATAAGCAGAGAAAAAATAAGAAAAGCAAAAAGCAATAACATCAAGTTTTCTCAAATTTTTAGTTTTCAGAGCAATGAGGGAAGAGTTCAAACCTTACTTTGATAATTTACCTGTACTAAACCAGATCCTTGGGCAAAAGGGTCCTTGTCGCTCAAAAACTGGGCTGTGTTTTCTAGGGCCCTTTTTACTTGAAAGGGGTTGTACAGAAGCTTTTTCTGTATAATTCCAGACAGGATGACAGCTAAAAAAAGAGTTGAAAAATCATTGGATGAATTAGCAGTTTGAGATAAAATGGTGTGTACTTGAAACTTGATTAACAGTACAGCCATACAATAGGACCCCAAAAATAAAACCGACAATCTTTACCCTAGCCGTCACTTTTATAGAATTGAATTGACTGTTCCTTTTCCTAATGATTCATTTTGACATTTTAACGCATAAAATTTAACCAAAAATTGGCGACGGCTGTTCTGCTCAAATGTGTTTTTGCCTTGCATCATTAATCTATTGCATTTATCTCATTCAGCGGTACTTTGCGGTAGTTTTTAAGTATGAATGACATTCACAATTATGAATTATTATTTTTTACTTACTTACATATATTACTTGATAATCCAAAAATAAATAAAAAAATTCCAAAAGGGGTTAGTGAAATTTTGGGTGATTGTCCTTTGACCATGCTTCCATGTAGAGTGTGTGACTGATGTTAGATAAAGACTCTCCCCTAATACAACAGCAGTCATTATTGGCTCATCATTGATGCTTCGAAGTAAGTTCAGTAGTTTTGGAAAGAAAATAGAAAAAAATAAAAAATAAGGGCACTATCGTATGCTTGAAAAATTGTGCACAGCATAGGAAGGTTTGATTACAAACCCTAGGAGCTCCAGAAAAGTACATGTATTCAAACATAAGGAAAAAAATAATGAGATTGTGAAGATCCTAAAAGTAGCCTCGCGAAGACAAATATTTTGCACATTTTTTGACAATTATGAGAGTGTATACTAAATCAATTAAACTTTTCCTCTGTGTTGGATTGAAACTAATGAAATAAGTAAATATTTTGCAGCACTGTTTACTTACCCACGCAGCCAGCACAGTTTGGCGAGGCCATGCTTGTTCCATTCATCAGCTGAGATCCTTTGAGCGTACACTTCGGGACAGAAGTGATAGCACCTCCTGGCGCACAGACTGTTATTCCCTTCCCGCCATCCAAAGTTGGGGCACGGGAAGTCCACGTGTATGGTGTTCCAGGCATCACCCTCCTCAGGCTGTACTCGGCAGCCATCATTTCAGGAGAGACATACGCTCCGACACCTGGAATTTGCCGTTATGTAACACTTTAAATGTAGCATTCATTGGGGTTTATTCATGTAGCAATAACTACAGGGTGGTGGTGCAGAGAGAGGGTGGAATAATAAGCGCAGCGGACCAATTGTTGAAACTGATAGACAAAGCTATAGACAAAGACAACAAAAGGGATTTGGAGGGATCCTATTGGTGGAAACGGGTGGTGGCAAAGGACATAGGAGGTAGGTAATGGACTAACTAACGGCAACCCACCGAAGACCCGACAGTTAGTCCATCATTGTCTTCCTTAGTCTATAGAAACTAACCATGTCAACCAGTAGGATTGCTCCATACTCCCTATGTCTTCTTTGTCTATCGCTTTGTCTACCAGTTTCAATAATCAGCCCGCAGGGAAGCCCTACTTGGACGAACTCCCCACTTACTTCAAAGGTTTATCTCCTGGCAATCAACAATTTGACAAACTGGTCAAAAATTATCTGGTTACATTTCAGCCATTCAATAATGATGAAAGTGACTAATCACTGAGAAGTAGATTTTCGTTGTTCTTTAAGTCAAATTCTAGCTCTGCTATGAAGAAAAACCTCACAACAGGGGAAAATGCAATGATACGACACAGCCGCGCTTGCACTCCATTTTAGTCTCTTTTCCTGCAAAAATATTTCTGTTTTTAAAAATCTGATCCCCAGAGAAAACGTAAAAAATTGGTCAAAATTATTTTTTTAACAGGTTTAGTTTAAAGATATCATGCTTAAAAAAACGCGTAGATCAGCCAAAAGGCACAATTTGCCCAATCATTTCTGCAGCTTAATAGCTCGCAAACGTCTATTGTGAACTCTTTTTTTTTTCAAAATCCTTTTCCCCCTTCTCAACTCACTTAATCTAAACTTTAGAGGGGGTCAGCCATTAAAATATCAAAAAAAGTGAAAATATTGACCACCCTGGTAAATATTCGTTAATTAGTTAGCTAGACTTAAAAAATTAGTGTTTGTACAGAAATATATCTACAAGCATTCACAAAAAAATTTTACTGAACCATCGACTGGCAATCACTCTCTTATTTTTCTGTAGTTTTCCTTTCATTTGATGAAGTAATTGGAATTTCTCATGCAATAAGCTAAAAAAATAAATTAATAAAGAAAGTATTATAAATGGGACATTCACTTGTTTAAAAAATTTACCTATGATGTTGTCGGTGGCGATATCTGGTGGAGTGCCAAGGGTGCACAAAGCTGGACCATTATTTCCAGCAGCAGCCACAAAAACTATACCATACTTATCTATTGCCTCTGACATGAGTTCACCAACCCGCCTGAAAAATTATCAAGCACACTTGTTAAGAATGGCACTCAGCAAACAAATCGGAGCAACACATAAAAGGTCTTTCATTCCATCCGAGTAAATTAGCTGTGTAAGAAGGAAATCGAATTTTATTTAAAAGGAACATATCGATCCTCCCAAGAAAATTAGGCTCAATTTTTCTGAATATTTTTCGAAAATTCCTCAAAAAACCTTCTCACATCCTCAATACCCTTCAATATTTCTTCTGCAGCTAGAGTGATTGTTCTGAAAATAGGCAAATTTGATTTTGATATCGTTTGTTATTCAGTTCCAGAACTCATTAAACTGAAGGTAATCTTGACACACAATCACAATCAACATCATGCATGTACAGTGTTGCAAATGTATTTCAATGTATCACTTGTTACCAGCTCAAATGTATCACTGTATCCCTTCAAAAACAGTTGAGTAACCAAACCAAAAACTGAAACTAGAAAGATAAAAAACTAAAGGAAATAAACGATGGGAGAATGAAAGATTTAAATGAGTGACAAAAAATTTACCCTGAGTTAGACCAATGGGCGTGTTCACCATAGCTCATGTTGATAACATGAATTTTGAGGCCTTTTTCACACCACCTCATCAACTGGATGATGGACCGAATGATGGCGGTGCCTGTTTCTAAAGAATCTAACCGACTATCACCTGAAAAAGTTCAAAAGACCATGGAATAAAATCATGAGTGTCTTATTCATGTTATGAGATTACGTTTGAATTTAGAGCTCTGCTGTATAAATGCTTTGGCAAATTTTTTCATCTTAGAAGTGACGGGTTAAAAATGGTGCAAATATTTTGAAAGGTAATTTCGAGGTTTCTGCACCAAATCTAAGTGCATCAGAAATTTTTATCAGCCGCAGTAGTCATACCATGTCGACGGTGAAACTCTCAAACCAGCTACCACAGTTTGTAACGTTACAGACTTCCTGTCAGACTTCATTTTTTTAATGGAAAATTACTTAACATCTTGAAAACTTACAAGATTTTCTCCTCTGTGTGAGGAAAATTCTATGCAAATTGCATGGAATGATTTGTTCTTCTTCAGAAAAATAAAATGGAAGAAAAATGGAGATTTGTACACACCACAAACAGGATACGAGGTTTAGGAGTTTCACCATCACTATGGTGAAATTTAATGGTCAAGTCCCAATGTATTGCACCTTTGAAGATAAAGAGGTATAAGTTAAATCCTTTGGTGCTAAAAATCATGATCTAAATTTTTAAGCTTCTATCTAGTTGTGAGTGCATTTGTTTCTGATATGATCAATAAAGGAATTCTATTCAAAGAGACTATGGCAGGTCATTGGACGTAACATGTTCTTGGATTCAACCATTCAACTGCAAAGGGCACAGATTTATGGCGTTGAAATTTTATCCGTCTAACAAAAACACAAAAACAAAAACAAAAAGACACTTTGCGATTGGAAGAAACTAAAACTAATTTTTGAAAAAAAAAACACTGTACAGATTTCACCAAGAAAGCAGAAAATGTAGAATCTAGGATTAAGAATTACATTATTGAAGGTAGGGAAGAGAGAAGACGCCAATTTTTAAAATTTAGGTATTATTTTCATTCAACTGAAAGGCACTTCCTTTCAGTTTTGTTTATTTCCGGGACAAATTTGTTTATTTTCTGCTAATTTACACAGATTTTTTAAATTCTTTGACATTTTTCAGAAACTTTTTCATATCACCAGATTGGCAAATTTTGAAGGAAAAATTTTTTCTGCTTCTAAGTTAGTTCTGGTCTAGCAAGAACAAAATTAATTTATTTAGTTATCTTAGATTTATCTTTAAAATTATTTAAGCCTCAAAAACAGCTTGATTACTCACCAATTGTTAACGAAACTAACTGTGCACCAGGGGCAACACCATTCTTTTCGGGATCATCAGGAAAATTAGCCGCAGCAATTGCAGCTACATGAGTTCCATGAGATCCTGGAAAACAGAAAATGAAGAATGAAAGCTCTAAGATTCATAAAGTAATGGGATAAATTAATCTTCAGGATCTTTTAGGATGAATTTGAGCACTCAGAGGCCAATTAATATTTCAACTACAAAATATTTACTTGGTAGACTTGAAACATAGTGAATACTAGAGATATTCATAACTTGGTCACAGTTTGATAAGCTCATATGAAGCTATGTCAGTACATAAAAACAGCGGATGTCAAGTTTTCCAAGTTCTGAGAGCATTGCGTTCAAAGTTTTCAATGCTGTATACCTATTTCAGTCGACCAAAAAATTTCTGATTGCAATCATGGAGTTTCTTTTAATGTGGCAGTTTTTTTCATTTTCTTGTAATGGATGGATGAAGAGCACAACAACAAAATTCGTGCATAGCTTTAAACAGAACTTACCACAAACAGATACTAATTCAAGAACATCCCCATTATCATGAACGTTTATTGACACAGTCATTTGGTCTTCAGGCGAAAGAATGGTGTAATCGCGGGTTACTGAATATTCACCCAGGAGCTTGCATGATGCTAAATCACCTTTTTCTGAGGTGTCAATGCATGCACTGAAATAGAAAACACATATATTAATTTCAAAATCACATTTACAGGAGAAGAACCAATTAGAACCATATTGGCATTTTCATAACAAAGTTTCTTGGCCATTTAGGGTTTAAAAAATCTGAAAAATTCCAATAAACTTAGTTCAGCTTGGTACTTTTAGAATATGAATTTTAAAAAAAAATAAAAAAGAGTGCTCCTGACCTATTCTCTAAGGTTATATTAATTCATTCATGTCAAGGTAATTTTAAAGCGAAAAATTATACAATGAAACAATATAGAATTTGCAGGTGTCAGAAATTCGATGAATTTCAAGTTTAAGTTGAAACTACTGAGTGAACTGAGTGCGAGGATACTCTTGGTTCATGAATTGAACAATTATTGGAGAAGATAAGACAAAATGATCTAATCTGCTAAAATACAAGTGTTTAAATGGGAAATACCGCCAGATTACGTCACTAGGCAGTGCATTTTCTTACTTATAAATCTATTTTCGTATTATTTCCCATATTAGAAAAAATTATGAAAAATACTGTGAAATCAGCTCTTTCAGCACTTTCAGATGAAGCAATAAAAATTTTGCATGCAAATTCTCCATTTAATCTGGAAAATTCAGTGCGAGGATTGCTCATTCACACAAAAATAAATGCACTGCATACCACCAATGCTTGCCGTTATGAAACAGAACGCAGTCATACGTAGGACCGCAATCAGTATACTGCTTTTCAAATTGATTTAAAATATCCACACGGGCTGTAGCTTCCTCTTTGATCAACAATTGAGCAGGGTCTTGCTTTTTGCTGTCGCTGCATTCCTGTCACACAAAAAAGTACATGTTCTTATAGACAGAGAGAGGGCAAAAAATCAATGGAAGAATATTTGCAAAATTTCTTCAGGCATGCATAGAAAATGTGCTGAAGATCTAAGTTGAAAATAAATGATTACTTGAAAGAAAACTAGTTACTAACACAAACAAGAGGAATTAAATCTTGCAATGAATACAAACTTGATAAGTTTCACAAAACTGGTAGAACAGAGTCACATCCTCTGTGTTATTTTCTAACACCAACAGTGTGATAAAAATACACCACAAGGATTTGCAATTTTACAAATGTCAATTTGGTCTCCTTTAAAAAAATAACATAAAGGCGGAGATTTTCAGACACCGCAAACAATATATTTGATTGCGGACTTACGCCATCGATTTGCTCCTTTAATAAGCATTAGGAGTTGGACTGGAACTATTCCTATCTCATGACATAGGAGATCACTTTTGATACAGCTTCAACTCCTAAAGCATTTTTAAAACTTGGGAATTTGTTTCAGGGAAAAATTATGTTATTTTTGTACTTCTTGCAAAATTTTGTAGGGGTTAAAGTACTTAAAATGTAAATCCCCATGACATGCTGGAGCTCCATTACTAATGAGGCTAGATTTACACTTACTGAGGAATTCGATTATTAAAACATCTTCTTTAGAAGAAGTGATTTTTCTTCAGTCGTGCACACATTCTTTTTTACTTTTCAACACTTTATGACATTTACTCAAAATAGCGATGGAAATGCTTCTCCATCGAACAACCTCTGTTACCTCATTTAAACACTCTGTGGGCTCTGGTACTGAGTGACAATTTTAAACTATTTCCAATACAAAATGGAAACACTCTTGAATAAAGAGCTGACATATAAAACCACATTAAACCATGAAAGTAATAAAATAATTCGAAATTGGTACCTAGTATTGCAACAAACCTTTAGTTATTAATGGCTTAAAAGTGCGAACATTTCCCAAATTTCCATTGTGATTATATGTGCTCACGTGAAAATGCCTTGAATTTTCTTGTGTACTGAAGGGTCAAGGGTGTTTTTTGCCACTCACTGAATACCTCGTTGATAGTCTGCCTACTTACCTGATACTTTTGGTTTTATCCATTTTGCGATAAGAGCAGGGAAAAAATAATTTAAAGTTTCCTGACCTTTGCCTGGACTTGAGAGAGATGTTTATTGCTCTCAGCAACTGCTTGCTTCTGATAAGGGTCCCACAGCTTTTCTTTCCTCTGCTTTATGATCCTATCTCTCAAAAATTTTGGATACAGCTCGAAGCCTCTTTTTACACCGATGCGAAACCCTTCGTTTACATTCTTCCATGATTCTGGAATCTAAAAAGTTGCAAAATTGCATGATAATATTAAGATAAATTGAAAGTTACACAAACATATATGTACTGAAAAACCTGGACAATTTTACCGATATCAAGATCGAAATTCCTGAAACCATGCTTGAATTCTGACAAGCTCGAACCACAAAATAGAGAAATACAAATATCTTCCAGAAACAATATTCGAACAATATGTAACAATATAACATTAAAATTAAAAATAAAATGAGGGGATAACTTTATGGGAATAACTCTGGACGTTGCCTGTAGGATTGGCCCCATAGAAAAATTCTACAGCGTTCATAAATTATGAAACGCTATATTCACAGTTTTTTTTTTCTACTCACTCACATTCTGTAATGCTCCAAACTAATGCACTATGCTTCATTTAAAAAAGTTGCACAGCATGAGCCCTGAAACTCAATCTAGGCGGTTCAACTTTTCATCTAACAAAAACGGATGCAACGTTGGGCGCATGATAATTCAATTCCTTTACTGTTGCCTTGTGATACCATGATAACAGTGGATATCAGCATATGGGTATTAAGCAGCATTTGAGTCTCATTTACCAATTTCACGATGTAACGCCGTGTGCTGGTTTTTATTTTAATTTCTTTTTTATTTTTAATTCTTTTTGCAGTTGATAATGGTGCCGTAAGGTACCGAAACGTCCTGCCTTTATATTTTGTATTTTAGCCTTGTTTCCGCTTTTTCCTGTGTTTTCGATTGTCACATGGGTATTTCTGTAAGCTTTCATTGCATTGAGATATAGCTTCGGCTTATATCAGTTGGATTTTACCCCTCCTTCCCTAACATTTCCAACATGTTTTCCACATGTTTCCAGTACCACACTTCCTAAAATTCCAACATGTTCGCCTCTTGCACCCTGTGCATTGTGGGGGGGGGGGGGGAGTATGCTTTGAAAAAAAATAGTGTATTTCCTCCGGAAAATACACTAAAAGGAGGTGTTAGCATTTCCGGCATCTTAGATTCTGTCGATGATGTAGGTCAGTGCAGGTGGTTTTTATCATCAATTTTCTGGAAAATAGTATCGTTAATGGAAAAAAATCATTCTACGTAAAGTGTTCTAAAGTATATTTTGAGTTGATTTATGCAAAGCAAACGGACATTATGGTCCATTCCTTATACTTTGAATTTCGAATTTTACTGGAATATCGATGCCATACCCACCTACATCACGGGGTAAACAATCCTCAAGGTGCAAACACCTTTTTTTTCTATGGGGGCATGCACTTTAGTTGTCAGGTGCATCAGGAAAAATAAAAAAGAAAATTCCCTCCTCTTAAGAGAGAGAAAAAATTTCAAACACCGGTATTGGGTAAAGTAAGGTTATTCCAGGGAGATACAACTTGGCAACGGTGTCTGGCACTGATAATTAAGCGCAAGTAATTCCCCCATTGGAACAACGTGTCAAAAAAATTGATGCTACTGGTATCGTACAAGGAAAGTATGAATCAATTATATCAAGCTTACAGTCTTACTTGAATGAATCAAGCTGCTCTTGACTATGAAGAATACAGATTATTACGGTTCAGAACAGAAAAGCTCAGAAGTTTTTTTAATTTCCTCATTCATTTGTTCAAGAAAACCCAGAAAAAATCGTAGTGTGATTTACTGCAAAGCACTTTCTCACCTTCTGTAGCCTGTGAAAAAGTACAGCAGTTACACGCATCCTGTGTATCTTGCTTATGACATCCCCGTATTCATGATACTAGGAAATTTCATTTTATTAGGTATAATAGGTATTTACAGTTTTCATTCAATATATTTTAGTTCTCATGTATTTCACCCAGCAAACCCAATTTTCTAGTTTTCTTCTCTTTGACAGACCATCATAAGCCGGTATGTAAAGCTTCTGAAACTATCAGTATAAGTACCTTCAAAGTTCTTCCTGTAAGTCCAGTGATTTCTCCATTTACAGGGGTGACAATTGTTGTTGTATCTACGTCTCCAGCACCTGAACAATCATACCTTTCAATCAATTTTGGTTTTCCATCAGTAGTCACCTGTGAATAAAAATTAATTCAATTAATTGGTTCATAAATGCCTGTCCATTCCAGGGTCTTATAATAAAGATTCTAGAAAAAAGATTATAAAAGGAAGTCTTGTCTTGGAGACTACAATGAATACTCTAAACATTGGTATCTTGAGAAAATTTGAGCAGCAAAAATCTTGTCCTTATATGGTATTTCTGGATGGTCCATCCTTGGCTGATGGTTGTGGTTTAATGTTTGCACCATTTACCATAATGATTCCATTGAAAATGTCAGAGTATTTTGATTTTTACCAGGGCCAAAATAAAAATGACGGCCCCTATGCATGAGTTTAGAGAACCAATTGTGATGAAAAAAATTGCAAAAGTTGAAGAAGCGCTGATGGGATTTGTTAATGAAAAAAGTAGCACATTCTATCGGAGGTTCAATTGCTCTGCCTGATACAATAAGTACCTACTTTTTTCAAATTTCTACTCTACAACACAAGCTGAGCTCAGGGTGGAGATGGAACATTTCTGTAATTATTTTGTTTTATCAGAATGAATACTAATCTAAGGTCATCTGGTGTGATAGAACTCCTTTCTACTGATAGGTACCTAGAAATACCTGGAGTTTTTGGCATGGAATATTCACAATTGCTCAATGTTTATCAATTCTAACCATAGAATACAGAAATCGTTGATATCACTAGAAAATTTCAGTTTATAAGCTCTATCCTAGGAATTAGAAACACCTAAAATTTCTCCAAATAATAGAAAATAGATTACCACCAAAAATAAACTATCCAGAATAATTATGAAACATCCCATATGGCTGCTCCTACCTCCTGAAGATATATCGTTGGTGAAACTACCATACCACGTCTAGTTTGCAGTGTTTAAAAATCTCCGCTCCTATTTTATTTTTGCGAAAGAGAACAAACCAATATCATTCTCGAAGTTTTCACAGATTTTCCTTCACTAACAGAAGAAAAATCATGGAAGTTTTAAATAATTGACGCTGAGCGTTTTCCATCTGATAAATAAAGTATGACAGGAAGTTTGCAATGTCGCAAACAGAGATACGTTGTCTGGTAGTTTCATCGTCGATATTAAATTCACAGTGTGAAATTGAAAGTCTCCACCTGAGAAGACACTTATTCTCCAGAAAATAAGATGAAGACCAATAATTCCATGAGAAGTTGCATCCAATCAGGCTGTGTGTGGGGATAATCATGTTCAAACCACAATCATTAGGTAATAAGAAACCTCTAGTTACAAGGCAGACAAAGAAAGGTGGTCGCATTTCGAGTTGAACCACCATTTTAACATGTGACGCGCAGAGAGTACATGCTTTGCTATGCAGTTAGGATGTACCCAAAACGTACCCGATGCCATGTGACATCAAGAGGGTATAAAATGCGACCATCATTCTTTATCCGCCCTGCTCTTGTTACTGACTTGACAGCTCCTGGAACACCTCCCGTACTTCAAGCTGAATGGGGAAGATAAGAGAAAGTAAAGCCCTTGTTCCTGGATCACTGTAATGGTCGAATCTTGAGCATTTAACACCACTTCGCTTTTGCTAAACAGATTTGCAGTATTTTTAAGTACTAGTAGCCCTGTCCTGAACGATTCGCTAAAAATATAAATGACTATTGTTTACATGCAAAGAAGGATTAAGTTTACAACCTGTAGTCCTGGGGCAGCAGGATCAACACCTGTATCAAAAATTGCAATGACAGTTCCTCTTCCATCATACTCCGGATACTTGTTTAGAAAAGCGTAAGCTCCAGTTTCTTTCTTTGGCAGAAGTCCCCAGACTGGAAATTCTTCATTTGCCGCAGAAGCCATGGTTGGGAGACGGACAGGTGAGAATCTAGTCTTACCTACAAGAACTCGTACTCGTCCGAAAATGGTGATGGTAATACACAATTGCTAAAAAAAGATGACGAAGACAAACGCCAGGCTTAATAAGTTGAGGATGAGATAACAAAACAAAACCCCAACAAAGAGAGCTCTCGTACAGTTGTGGTTGTGGAAGGGGTAGGCATTCCAGGCAAAGGGATGATAAGAAGGTTTGAAATGCAGTAAAGGGAACGAATGTAAACAAACCGCAGTGGAAGAGAACCAGCTTCGTTCATTGGCGCTTTGATTTATTCATACAATAAGGCGGGAACTTTAAAACCTCGGCTGCGCCCATTATTCGTTTCCTCTTTCATTTTTCGAGATGTCACTTGCGACGTTTAAAAATTTCCGCTGCCATTTTATTTTTTTACAGAGAAATTTTTCAACAAAGCTGTCCGAAAATTTCACTGAAATTTTTTTGTGCTGCCGATAAAATTCAGTGAAATTCTCAAACAGATTTAACCAACATTTTCTCTGGAAAAAAATAAAACTGGCGGTGGAAATTTTTGAACGTCGCGTGCCGCTTGTACAGATACTTTGGCCGGAAGGTGAGGACATCAGAAACAGTGAGACGTTTATACTGAACGCCACTATTCGGCCACCAGAGCGTGGCAATGTATCACTCGAAATAGAAGGCGAAATTAACGCACCAACTTAAGTACTAGGCCAGTTCCTACAACGGCTAAAGACGCTACTTCTGAAACAACATATCGACGGTGTAAGTCGGCAATCGCATAACTCGGTTTGCGACGTTGCAGACTTCCTGTCATACTCTATTTTTTAAACGGAAAACTACTCAACGGCAATTCTTTAAAACTTCCGTGATTTTTCCCCTCTGTGCGAAGAAAATTCTGCATTAACTTTAAGGAATGATGTCAATTTGTTCTCCTTTAAAAAATAACATAGAGGCGAAGATTTTCAGACACCGCAAACGGGTTATATGATTGCCGACTCACACCGTCAATATGTGTCATGAATTTCTCAAGGAAGATAGGTGATTTTATGGATGAGCTAAAAATAGTAGGTCCATAATGCATTTTGCAATCCATTTGAACTTCAAAGTATTTTGCTTACCAAGTATTATACATTGCGTACAAAATTGATTGAGGGGCCAATTTGTAATTTCTCTAGTTTTCTCATTTTTTTAGATCCCTCCCCCCTCCCACCTCCCACCAGTTTTTTCTGAGAATCTTTGCTTCGTCCTAGTTTATGGATAATTCCTAAGAGCTACACTCGTGGAAGCTACAAAGTGAAGGGGCTATATTACACAAACGCATCATCATCTTTACGTTTTGTCATAGTTGCGTATAGTGAGATATTAAAAAAAAAAAATAAGTGGCAGAAGTAATATAGTTGCCCACACTCTTTCAGTTAAAAAAGAACCATGAAAACAAATTCTCCCCGGCAAGATATCGAACCCCGATCTCCGGGGTTGCAAACGGGCGCAGTGGGACTTGGCCACCCGGGGGGCGCTGTTGCAAATTGAAAAATACACTAATTCAACTAAAAAATAGACTTTAAGGTCGGAGAATTAAGAGACGTGTTCTCGTGTTCAGAAATCACGCGCGCTTATTGGCCATATGCATTTCACAGCTGTTTTTCGAAGCTTCGCCTTATTAGCGTTTTGGCCCAATAGATTGGCCCTGAGGAAATTAGGATTTTGATTTTCATGAATTAAATCAATCAATTGGTATTAACCGATTGATCATCTGATTAAACATCTGATTTTGGCCTTTATAAACGTAATGGGTCCTCTAGAGCAATTTTCCATCATATACAATGCTCATTATTTTCTCTTTTTCTTCTTGAAGTTTGAGGTGAGATAATGGTGGCCACAGAGAAAACCCACTTGGAGAATAAATCAATCAAGCACAGCAATACGTCACTAAATGTCTAAGAGATCAGCGTGATGACGCTGATAAATTTTTCAAATTTAGTCGGAAAATACAGATCAGATATAAATATTTTAAGCACGACGAGGACCTTAAAATAATGTATAACCCAGTAATAAGTCCGTGCACAATTTTTTTGCCGAAAGCTCGACATTCTACGCGGTTTTTTAAAAATAAGAGATAACGAACGAGATGAAAATTTTACCGCCTGTACCAAAATGGCGTCATTTCCCATAATATGACAACATACTATGTCCAATGTATGTATACAGGGTGTTTCAGACCACCCGTACCAGGCCTTTTTCTCGGTTGGTATAGGTCGTACGAAGTCGGAGACCGCGGGGATGAATAGGGAATTGACCCCAAGGAATCCGAATTTCGTGGTCCCGAAACCCCCACCCCCCCTTGAGGGGTAAAGGGGGGTCACGATGCTAAAAGTCACTGTTCCCGACCAAATTGCGGATAGATCGTATCAGAATTGAAAAGCACGAAAAATTTCACGTGGAATTGACCCCTAAAAATCCAAAATCGGACCATCCAAGGCCCAAAAATGACCCCCTAAAGAGGGGGACAGTACCCTCCTCCATAATTTCTCTTTGGTCTCAAAATTGACGTAGATTCTCCAGAAAAAGACAGTTTCCTAGGTAATAGACCACGAGAAATCCAAATTTCATGGTCCCGAAGCTCCTCTAGCCCCCCTTGGGGAGTAAACGGGGGGGCCCAATTTTAAACATCGGGGCTTCTTTCCAAATCGCAAATTAATTGCATCCAAATTGAGGAGCAAAACACATTTACATCTTAAGTGACTCCTAAGAGTTCTAATAGACCCCCTGAACGGCAGAAAGTAACTCCCTGAGGAGGGGGGCTTCGTTCCCGCCAAAAATTTCTCAAGATTCCTCTTTGGTCGCAAAATTGACGTCGATTCTCCAGAAAAAGACGGTCTCCCATGCAATCGACCCCGAGGACTCTTAATTTCATGTTCCCTGAGCTCCTTGGGGTCAATTGCATGGGAGACCGTCTTTTTCTGGAGAATCGACGTCAATTTTGCGACCAAAGAGGAATCTTGAGAAATTTTTGGCGGGAACGAAGCCCCCCTCCTCAGGGAGTTACTTTCTGCCGTTCAGGGGGTCTATTAGAACTCTTAGGAGTCACTTAAGATGTAAATGTGTTTTGCTCCTCAATTTGGATGCAATTAATTTGCGATTTGGAAAGAAGCCCCGATGTTTAAAATTGGGCCCCCCCGTTTACTCCCCAAGGGGGGCTAGAGGAGCTTCGGGACCATGAAATTTGGATTTCTCGTGGTCTATTACCTAGGAAACTGTCTTTTTCTGGAGAATCTACGTCAATTTTGAGACCAAAGAGAAATTATGGAGGAGGGTACTGCCCCCCTCTTTAGGGGGTCATTTTTGGGCCTTGGATGGTCCGATTTTGGATTTTTAGGGGTCAATTCCACGTGAAATTTTTCGTGCTTTTCAATTCTGATACGATCTATCCGCAATTTGGTCGGGAACAGTGACTTTTAGCATCGTGACCCCCCTTTACCCCTCAAGGGGGGGTGGGGGTTTCGGGACCACGAAATTCGGATTCCTTGGGGTCAATTCCCTATTCATCCCCGCGGTCTCCGACTTCGTACGACCTATACCAACCGAGAAAAAGGCCTGGTACGGGTGGTCTGAAACACCCTGTACATGTTACAAGGAGGAGTCCAACGGCTGGAATAAAAAGGGCGCAACTGGTAAACCAGAAGCGCCAAAACAACAAAACGTATTGTCACCGATTTGAGAAGATATTTTATTCATCACAATTCATAAATAATAAATAAGTCGGAACAGATGATAGAGAATGATTAACATTAGGAGCGCATGACGTCACCAGTCAGACTGAAGGCCTAGATACACACGGCGAGTAATCCCATAATATGACAACATACTATGTCCAATGTATACCTACTTGTTACAACGAGGAGTCCAACGGCTGCAATAAAGGGCCGTGTAATAATAAGGGCCGGATTAATCGCCGTCTGTATCTACACCTTTACAATCTTTCATACCTCTGCCGATTTTGCGAATTTTTCATTCAGGACGGAGCCATTTTGCTTCTTTTATATGAAACTTAGGGGATGTTCCTAAGTCAAAGGGAACTATTTTTTGGCCCTCTAACATTTTTAGAAGGGTCTTTTCCTTGGGGGAAGGGCAACAGACCCCAACTTTTTTTTCAAATGGGGAGACCCCCCTCGTGATTCCTTGTTCAAAGGAGTGTAAGAAAGAAAACTTTTCGCGCAGACCCGAAGTCAATACCACAAACTGTTTCAAAATGGCGGCTGGTTAATGTTCGAAATGATCGAAAGTTAGTACCTAGGTTTTTCGTTGATGAATTTACCTGAAACTTGGTATCTGGGGGTATTTTGACACAAGGAACATCGAATTTGACACCGGATTTTCGAAAAAATTGAAGTTATCACAATGGCAGCTGGTTGAAGTTCAAAATGACCGAATATTTTTTTAGAAATTTAACTTCTTTGATAATTTCATCATTCAAAATACCCCTTCAGGTGAATCCATCAGCAAAAAACCGAAGTGCCGAGTTCTCGGCTCTGTTGCGAACTTTGTACGGAAGAAATTTTGGAAATTTCGGTTTTTTTAAAATTCTAACACCAACTTGTTCTTCTCATGTCAAAATACCCGCAGTTATCGATTTTCGCGCAACGACAGATCAATTTCCGGTTCTCTTGAACTTCAACCAGCCGCCATTTTGAAACAGTTTGAGGTATTGACTTCGGGTTCGCGCGAAAAGTTTTCTTTTTTTATGCTCTTTTGAACGAAGAACCACAAAGGGGTCTTCTCATTGGGGTCGCTGAAAATCTTAAGGGGGCACCAATGTAGCTCCTTTTGCTAAGGAACATCCCCCAAGTTTAAAATCTTTACCTCCATTAGGAATTAGGTGAAAAGTTAGAGGGGGTGTAATAAGGGACTTTTGGGTCACCTTTGTGTAAGTGTATTGGTAATTCATTTACACATGAAGCAGCCTCCGCTTCTTTTCGTCTTGATTTCAATGGAATAAACCCTCTCTTCGATGTCACATGTGCCTCTTTGGACCTTCAGATGCCCCTGGAAAAAAGGAAGGAAACAGAGCATCGAGCAAATTATATCCAAAAAGCAAGGATCGTGAAGCTCCCAATAGAGCAATTATGGATAGGTACACTGTAAGCGTCCACGGGACTTGAGTGCACACAGACAAGTAATTAGATTACATTTTGCAATGAGGAACTACTATTGCCACTCATTCGAAAAAAAGTACCTATTTGCATACTGCCTTGCTAAGGTAAAACTCCGTATGAGCCTCCAAGCGCTGCCAAATTTCCTTCAGTAAATCACGAATTTTCGGGAAAATGTGTAAATATTTTTCTTCCAATTTTTCATATAATTTTATTCGCAATTTCACCTAAAGTTTATGGAAATGTCAAGGGAAAATATCCGTAGCTTTCCTCAAAAATAAACATTTTATCAAAGGAAATTTGGCAACTCTCGAATGTTCATACGGCCTTTTTCCTTAGCACGGCAGCATGGTGGTGGCGAAGCGTGAATTATCGATGATCGATATTCCCCCATTTGAAATTGGGGTCAAGAATCGATTATTACGGTGTTCGTTGCGAACACCCTGTTTATCGATCCTTTGCCATAGGTTTAAATGGCAGATCAATCGATGTATCGCAAAGCACGCCACGCCACTGCTCTGCCGTGCTTAGGAAGAACGCCGTATGAACATTCGAGAGTTGCCAAATTTCCTTTGATAAAATGTTTCTTTTCGAGGAAAGCTACGGATATTTTCCCATGAAATTTTCAGGAACTTTAGGTGAAATTGCGAACAATATTATCCGAAAATTTAGAGGGAAAATATTCATAAGTTTACGGGGAAATTTTTGTTTTATCAATGGAAATTTGGCAACGCCTGAAGGTCCATACAGCGTTCCTCCTTAGCACGGCAGTAGCTGAATAAATACGTGTTTGAAGTTCCGAAATTTCATGGATCTTTTTGGCGGAAAGTTCAAACAGACGTTTTGATATTTAAAAATTGAACTTTGGAAGCGAATTTCACAGAGTATGCGTTGGGACTACTTTTACTTAGAATTATTAATATCTCAGCTTTTTTTTAAAAACTGCACTTATGCGCCTTGTCCTCCAAGCCCCTCAATTCTATTTTCGTCAAATGGGATGCTGTTCGCAAAACTTTTTCCACTTGAATGGACTTTATTCTGATGTAAGGAACCGTTATCTCCGACTCATCCAAGAACAGCGGAGAAACTGACGACATATATGTTGTTTTTAAAATGAGCCAGAAATAGTAGGTAGTCCCATATTTCAAAATGCGGTCCAGATTCAACACGCGTTTTGCCTGCGGAGCAAGGTTTGCCAGTAAAATAACAATTGCTGGAGATTTTATGCTTGGCATTACAAAGTAGGAAACTAAAAAGATTTCATGCACTGACCTCCAATGGGCCCCAACCTGGACCGTAAGTATTTCGCACGAGATAGTAATTAACACCGTCCTCTGTAAAGGAGAAGTATGACATTTTATCAGGATATCAGGAAGCTCAGAGAACCACAGAGATATTCAGAAAGTACATACGAATTACCATCGCTCTTCGCTGCCGTGCTCAGGAAAAGCGCCGTATGAGCCTTCAGGCTTTGCCAAATTTCCCTCAACAAATCACGAGTTTTCAGGGAAATTTTTGAATATTTTTTCTCCAATTTTTAAGAGGATTTTGTTCGTAATTGTATCTGAAATGTCTGAAAATTTCAAGGAGAAATATGCATAACTTTCTTGAAAAATTCATGTTTTATGCGGGGAAATTTGGCAACTCTCGAATGTTCATACGGCGTTCTTCCTCGGCACGGCAGTTCTGACGTAAGAGCGTAACTCAATCTCCGCGCATGAGCCCCCAAAAGCATGGATTTTTATGTAAAAGAGGGCTCACGTCTCACGTGGAAATCGAGACACGCCCTTACATCGGAGAAGCGACGTTATGAGCTTTACGTCAATTCGATCCTATTTGTCAAGAGGTCAGGATCGTAGAACAAGGTCTATATTTCCGGTTTTCTCACATTTTAGCATCTGATATTCACTTGGATGAAAATTTTAAGCAGCAAAAAGATAACTATAACCAAAACTTTAAGTTACATTGTGACAGGTTATACCAAATCAGCGAGGGGTGTTTGGACCCTGGAAGTCTGGATAATCTGGATCATTCTCCCGTCCCCCCCCCGCCCTGAATTTGTAATCTTCAGAATCGATTTCTTTGGAGCCAGACATATTTGGCCTCATAGACTCTCCGTGAAAAAGTTCAGCCCACGCCACCGTGCAATGTGCAATTAATTGGTAAAGTAAGTGAAACGCTTACACTAACTCAAGTATCATATCCTCCGATTATACAATAATTGACCCAATCTCACTTTAATGGATGAGTTTTCCTCCTACTTTTGGAAGACGTCGGCAGAGCCCTTAACAACGGCGCGGTGAGTAAAAAAGTAAAACTCGTAAGAAGGAATGATCGATTATCGATATTTCTCCATTTAAGGTATGGTAAGGAATCGATAATCAAGGTGTTCGTTGCGGACATCTTGCTTATCGATTTTTACGGAAAAATCCATTTATTCTTTATGGAGGTTCACATGGTAAATAAATCGATATAACGCAAAGCATGCCACGCCACTGCACTACCCTGCGTCTCGGTTTCCTGAATGCTCAGCTTTTTCTGGGTCAACTTGAGGAACTTTGGGCTTGTTCTCGAGGAATACAAACCTAAAAGGAACCCTAATCCGCCGGTAGTGAACTTATACACATATTTTCGTCTTTAAACTATTATCTACTTATCTTATTTTGAATTCTTGCCCTTTAAATTTTTTCTGATATAACTAATCCTATGTCACTCACCAACTCCGTATCCTACGATAGTCACCCCATGATTGGACCCGGTGTTGGGGCAATTCGTGATGACTCCACCTCTATAGTGCTGTTCAAGTGAAAATTAAGTGGATTATTAATTCAGAGAACTACATTCTGCAGTGAGGAACAAGTATTTCTGGCTCATTTAGAAAGAACATAAGTGTCATTAGTTTCTCTTTGCAGATAGGCCCTTTTATGAATGCGCCACTAATGGTCGGACCTCATTTAAAAATGGAGTAATGAAATCCATATGATAGGAGGGCGGTATCGTTTTGCAAAAAAGAAACGAGATCAGGAACAGGTGGTATGACAAATCAAACAAAGTGGTTCGGTCACCGTTATAGTTGATAATACTTGGAAAAAAACGGTTTTGACCCGTCAAATTGAGACTCATTTCATGTTTGATTTATCTTGCCCAGAAAAAAAATCTGCGGTGACAATTAAATCTCTCTGAAGTTTGGGGCTAATTTAAACTTTTTTCTCTCTTCAGATAGTATTGGCTTCTCCTCGTGTGCACATTGTGGCTAACTCTAAGCCACTTTTCGCAAGCGAACCGTAAAAGTGCGATTCGCAAATTTCTGCCCGAGAGAGACACCCATAACGCCTTAAACATCGTGTTTATGCAACACGGACATCCTTCAAACACGAATAGTTGCATCAAACGCAATACTGTTTTAGTTGCATTGCATGAACATTATATTACATAGTGCATCAATTCAGCGGACTGATTGCTAAAATTGATATAGACATAGCGATGGACAAAGAAGACATAGAAAGTATGGAGCGGTTGTAGTATTGGTTGAAATGGTTGCTTCCAACAGACTAAAGAAGAAAATGATGGACTAACAATAGGGTCTCTCGTAGGTTGCCGTCTTGCCGTTAGTTAGTATGTTATCTACCTGCTTTGTCGATTGCAACCACTCGATTACACCAATAGGGCCCCTGCATATCCTTTTTGTCTTCTTCGTCTATCGCTTTGTCGATCAATTTCAACAATCAGCCCGCAGGCCTTGTTTAGGCCCACTGATCTCTGAAATCCTCCCACTCACATCTCATGATCGTGTATTAAAATATAATGTAGAGAGAAATTTCTTGACTTGTCAAACTTTAAAGAAAGAATACAAATCAAAACTTGCCTGTATTCTGTCTGCATTGATCTTAGCGGGTAGAGGGCCGTTTTTGAGATTGGCCAGAATGTTGGCCTCGCCTGAGATCAATCTCCAGCTTTTGATGGTGGCGACGCCTTTGGCTACAGCGGCCCTATCGCATTCCCCGGCACGAAAGCTCGCTCTGTAAGGATAGTCCGTCTCCGATGCCAAGTAAGTGTCTCGTATGGCTTCGAACAAACTCGTGTAAGTCACAGCATTACAACAGCGTGGGTCACAGTCTATGAGCTCTGCCACGTGAATAGAAATTATCCATCACTGCAAGGGTCGTATTTATAGTCGTCCCATAACAGCCCCTTTTCATATGAGGTGACATGTAAGAGGCTTGGAGGACAAGGCGCATAAGTGCAGTTTTTGCTATTTCGAGAAATACGTGTTTGAAGTTTTGAAATTGCATGGATCCCCCGGAAGGGGTAAGAAAGTAATTCATTTTTATGCTTAAAAATTGGAATTTGGGAGCGAATTTTTTACAGAATATGCATTAAGATTAATTTTCCTTGAAATCATTAATATTTTTCCTCGAACTGATCTTACGTTCCTTGTCCTCCAAGCCCCTTATATGATTTACTTTATGATGAAGAAAGCTTTAAAGAGATCGACATGGCATCATAGAAGCAGGACAATTTTAACGTGCCTCGACTGGGATTCAGGAAAAATTGTACCCTAAGGTCAAAAAAGTTGTTTCGATAAAAACCTACTTATTTGAAATTTTGAACAAAAGGAAGGATTGCATGACTCCGTGCGTCAAAAATCATTGCATAACTTATTCAATAATAATCAGATTTTTTAAAAAAAAACTCGGTTTTGAATTGAAGGGCTTGGAGGACAAGGCACATTGGTGCAGTTTTTCAAAAACTTGAGGAATTAATGATTTCAAGTAAAACTAGTCTTGATGTATATTCTGTGAAAAATTCGCCCCCCAATTTCAATTCTCAAGTTGGTATCCGAAAGTATGTTTGAACTAACTTTCCGCCACAAGGATCCATGTAATTTCGGAACTTCAAACACGTATTTCATGAAATAGCAAAAACTGCACTTAGGCGCCTTTTCCTCCAAGCCCATTATAGCTGAGGATAAGTGAAATTCAATTTTTTTTTTTAAACGGATTTTTTTTTAAAAAAGAAATTACTTACGACTTCCCTTAAGGAAAAGATAAGAGGGGAGAGAGAGAGAGAGAGTGAAAATAATTATTGCATGCTCACGCTGTATTGATAGATTTGTCCTCCTCTTCTTCTGAGCCGAATACATGATTGACACGGCGCTTACCCCTCCGATATGTCCACACGAGTCGCAAGTGTCCTGCGAAGGGGTGAATCAAAAGGAAAGATAATAATAATTGCATGATAAAATTGCATGATAGATGTGCATACAGGATTTTAAAATCGTTTAAAATACTATTGTACGCTGCATAGTTTTACAAAGAATTCCGAATTATCTTGTCTATGAGGGTAAAAACCCAAAATTTCAATCCAGGTAAGAATATTTGACTATTTGCCTAGGTATTTGACAAAATGCCTGATTCGACTATTCGCCCTCGACATAATTATGTAAAATGATCGATTCTAGGTGAGACTGCTTAAGCGAATTTTCGCGATCCAATATCATTCACGGTTGAATGGTGTTCGACGACTGTGCATTTTTTTTAATGATATTCGACTCCTTTGTTGGTCTCACCGGAGACCGTTGAAATCCATCAATTTGAAATTTCGAATTCACCTCGGGACTCGATTTTTGAATTGATGCAATCGATGCCAGAAACTCCATCCTTCATCAGAATTTTTGTCTAGTCATTTTTTTCTGTTTTTGTGTTTTGCCACTTCAAGCCTGGTGTTTTTGAAATTTGCTGTGTTTTTGTGTTCCGTGCATGGGCGTAGCTAGGGGGGTCCTGGGGGGGCCTGCCCTCCCAGAAATCTCGTGCCCCCCCCCCCAGAAATCTCGTGCCCCCCCAAAAAAAAAAACGGGATCGTCCATTCCTCACCCCCTCCCCCACTCTCTTCACCACGAGAGGTGGTCCTATGGCCCTCCCCAGAGAAATTTCCTAGCTACGCCCCTGGTTCCGTGTTTTCTTATTTTCTTTTTAATTTCATTTTAAAGAAAAATCTGTACTCTGATTGGCTCCTGCTACCGCCGATCATCGGCATCACTCAACACTGATCAATTCGTTTGATGAATGATATTAGATCGCGAAAATTCGCTTCTTGTCTCGCCTCAATCTATATTTTTAGTGAATTTGAATGGAGAAAAACGTGTTGACAACTTATAAGATTGCCACTAGTTCACTAACCTGATCCTGCGCAGGAGGGTAGTACCTGTTGTCCGTCCAACTGAACGAGCCCCCGGTGTGGCTGCTTGAGCCACCCGCGCGTTTTATACGTGACGCACGGATTTTGGAGCCTCCCTCTCTCAAAGGGCTCTCCGGCAGACTGCTATTGGAACGCAACATTTTTTTCTTGAACTCATCACCTGGAAAAATTGGACCAAAGCCCAATTGGACGTATTTCTGCCAAAAGGAACCGTTTGCATTAAGACACGAGCCCTGACACCCATAAGAATATATAGATAACAGGGCTCACGTCATGATGCGCATAGTTCCTTTGGCAGAAATACGTCCAATTTTAAGTTGTCTTTTTTCATTTGGCGAATTCTCGTGACTGGATTCGGTTAATTTTTTGGATGGATGACTGTTGTATCACAGCTGGAATTTGTACCGATCAGAATCTAGTATCTAATTTTCAACCAAATCCTGAAAACAGCGAGTTAAATCTCGGATGATGGCCAAAAAAAAGCGCGCCGTTTGGCCAATGCACCACAACTTAATCTACGATATACAATATCATACAAATTGTAATACAAATATACAACAACTAGAGGCTTGTGGCCGTACGCGGCCTCTAACCACTGAGAAAAACTACACGTAAAAATATTAGAACAACCACGTTCAAGTTATTTAAGAGATGAATGGATTCAAAAGCCGACGGGTGCATGCGAAAGATATTGCATATTCGTCTCTGATTGCAACGTTGTGTACCAATTTTTATGTTTCATTTTTGTACACCGTTTTTAAAAAGCTTCACACAGTTTTTCCACGAATTTTCCTAGATGATCTCAAATGTAAGCATCGAAAATTTCGACGCGATATTCATTCTATTTTCTTTTTATGTAACAAAAAAAAAAAATTAAATATACTCCGATTTTCTGAATCGTTACAATGAGGACACATATTTTCCCTCTACTTATGGTAAAAACCGGAGCAGAGAGGCAAGACTAATGGATGACACGTAATCCTAGTTTAACGGTGACTGTAGCATCCCGAAAGCCAGGGAAGGGAACGCGGTGGTGTCATCTTTGCAGTGTAACGCGCCTTCCATTCGGCTAGCGGCAATATGCCCACGCACCCATGGTCGAATAGTTATCTCGTTACGCCTGCCGTAAATGAAATCAAAAATCGACGCATGCACGCGGAGAAAAAGTGTTCTTATCTCGGATTGCAACGTTGCAAATCTCAACTCATTTTTTTTATTTTTAATCAATTTTTTTTAAAAAAAAAGCCACACCCAGTTTTTGTGAACATTTCCGAGAAATTTCCGCGGAATGATTTGAAATAAAATCACAAAAAATTTCGACGCGATATTCCCGTTCGTTCTGTTTTCTTTTTATCAAACCAAAATTAATTTTACGCAAATCAAGTTTCAGAATCGCTGCATCGTTTAAACAACGTCCGAGTTGCTGAATTGTTGCAATTAAGATACTTATTTACCCTTTAATTGTGGCAAAAATTGGGCAGGGACCGTTAAAAGAAATGACTCGTGGTCCTAGTTTTGCGGCGCTTTTAACGTCGCGCAAGCCAAGGAAGGGAGCTCAGTCAAGTGTCGAGTCATCTGCACAATGTGATGCGCCTTCAATCCAGTTAGCGACAATGTGCCTATACCCGTGGTCGAGTAGCTACCGCAAATAACTTTGACATTGCGTTTGGTGCAATGCGAGAAGTATTCATGCAGTCTTGTAGGCACTAATACGCGTTTGACGCCGACCGCACTGTTTGGCGCAATGCGTAAAGTATTCCTACAGTCTTGCAGGCGCTGATATGAGTTTGACACCATTAGCTAGGCTAAAGCTAACCTCTTTAGAATTTTTATATCCCCCTTTGATCTACGCGACCTCCATGGCATCTCTGACTGAACGCTTTAATAGTTAATACTTATTTTCATTTGTATCACCGAAAAACCTATGAAATATTTAGACTCGAACTTCAGGCATATGAAAGAGACACTCATGAGATTTTAAGGTGGGTGATCAAGAAATTTTTATTTCCACGATCACGCGAGGTACAATGACAAAAAAAATTAAGTAATTCAAATTGATAGCATTTTATTTACTTGCTTGCGACGAAATTCATTTGTACTGTACTGACGCGTTTCGAGCGGGCTGCTCATCATCGGTGCGGTGACGCGCAGTGGCGTTGCGTGAATGATCGATTATCGATATTTCCCCATTTGAATCCGTGGTAAAGAATCGATTATTAAGGTGTTCGCTGCGAACACCCTGTTAATCGATCCTTTTCTATAGGTTTAAATGACAGCTCAATCGATATATCGCAAAGCACGCCACGCCACTAGTGACGCGTCTGCACAATACAAATGAATTTCGTCGCAAGTATAAGTGAGCAAAATTTTAAAAATTTCAATTATTTGACATACTGCTTGTGTGGGAAGACTTCTTGAGTTAAAAAATAAAATATATTTAATTTGCGCTTTATTAATATATTTGTTTAAGCATAGCTTACCCGTGAGATCAGCAAATCTCGAAATTCCATAGGTCGCGTTATCATAGCGATCATTATTCAACTCTGCAATGACTTTCAAATTGGTTCTGAAGATGTCGAATCTTTTCGCTTGTTCCGCTGCGTTTTCATAAGACTTTCCAAACTTGATCATGAAGTTATTGAACAACCTCAACTCTACCTATAACTCAGATAATTAATCAGTCGGTACTACGGATATGATGAAACAATTACACCAACCACTTACTTATAGTCGTGTGGATTTAATGTTTACGGGAAAGTCAAAAACTTACGTATTTTTGTAAAGAAAGAAAAATGAAACAAAAAACAACCTCGCTACTGTAGTAAAAATCCTCAGTTACTTGACGAAAAATCTTGTGTCTGTATGATTTTGGCTGATAGGAGGAAAAATCCCCAAAAATAATGTATGCACATAAAAATTAGGATGAAGAAACCTAAATTTGTTTTACATATATTTCATCTCACACGACGAAATTAAAATATACTGTTGTCCCATTAGAACATCAAATCAATGTTTCACTCGCAAACACCGAAGAACAATGATAAAATTAATTAAAAATATGTTGCTAATTAAATGGTGAAACTCCTACATTGATATCCAAGCCACTTACCGATAATTCGTCCCCTGGCAAATAATAGCTTAATGTAATGGGCGCCAGCCACAAAAAAGATATTATTAGATAGCCGATTTTATTCATAGTCCTAGCGATTTTAAACACCTGCGAGCAGATAAAAAGAATTGCAATAAAGAAAGAGAGCGAGAATTATCGATGAAAGACAGGGTATGACACTAAGCACCCTGATAGATGTCTAAACCATGATTTTAGGTAGAATTGGATGGTCACATTGAAAATTCCAAATTCTGTTTTAGTTTTTCGATAGACTATATCGATGGCGAAAGTGCAAGAGCACGTATCTCCATGGCGGTGTTTCCAAATTCCCGCTCCTATTTATCGCAAGAAGAGAAACAAGCCAACTTTGAAGCTTGAAAATTCATTACTAGGAGCTCTCTGACCCTCTAAATTTTCATTTTTTTTCAAAGCAGTCTACAGTTCTATCGGGTCAAATTCCATAATTTTTGTGGCTACCAAGGAGAAAGCCCTTAAATTTGCCCGCTCTAATTCAATTTTAGAAATATGACCCATGTGTTTTCATATAATGTGATGAAGTTGGTAATTCGCCCATTTAAACAATGGCGATGTTCATTTCTTGTCACAGTTTGTTCTGGAGATTTGTCCGGCCGATTTTTATGATTTTTGCGTCTAGCAATTGGAGATAGTCCCTAGACGAGGCCACTTTACTTGAATTAAGCAACGGGTGCCAACAAAGCAGATCTTAGAGGGCGCGAAAATCGCCCTCTAGGGGCTGAGCCACGTAGCGAACAGGGGGCTCTGCACCCTAGTATTTTCCCAACGAAAGATAAAATTAAGGAAGTTTACAAGAAATTATGTTGACCAGTTTTCTTGAAAAAAAAAAAAAAAAAATGAAGTATGCCAGGAATGTTGCATTGTCACACGCGGAGATACGCGGTTTAGAAATTTAGTCATCGAACAATTTCTGTTCACAAAAGGCTACAAACTGCCGAAACCAGGGAGTATCTATGCTAATTATTTCCACGAGGGAAGTATTTTCGAGGTGTGTCGAGGCAGAAAGATGAAGTTTGTAAGAGAATCTGACGCAGCGGGTGAAAAATCAGACGATAGATGACATTTTGATTGCACGCCTGGTTACGGTTCTCAAGAGTGTGCGCTAATAGCGCGGTCGTTGTACGGTGGTTTGATCCTGAAGAGCGTTGTTGCCATATTTGGTAGGTAACACTAAAACTTTGGATCAATTTTTTCCACCCGGTAAAAAGACATGTCATTGTCTTACTCACCTTAAAACTAACTATATCGATAGTCAAAGTGCGAGAGCACGTATTTCCGTTTGTGACGTCGCAAACTTCCTATCATACTTTATTTTTTCTTTGGTAAACCAGTCGACTAAATCTCTTGAAAATTTCCTTGGTTTTTCCTCTCTGTCAGCAGAATATTTCGTAGAAATTTCAAGCGAAATAGTTGCTTTGTCTCTCTTTGAAAAAATAAAATAGGATCAGAGATTTTGAAGCACCTCCATTAAGATACGCTGTTTCGCACTTTAGCCATCGATATAAAATCTTTGCACTTTTTTAAGCTTCCTCCTTTAGTTGATACCTATTCTCATTTATTGGCAAAGATGCAATCTATGACTTATCGTTCCTACACTGACAGAAGCTACCTACAGTTTTGAATAAGCTCTACTTTCCATATAACACCCCATGCTGCAGTATTTTTGTAGCGGAAATGAAGATTAAATCTTCTATTAAGAAAGTGGCGTTATGTGAATCGTACTAATTTCACGTGCCTACCTGATTTCCAACTTTATCGTCGTAGGGGGAATTTACAACATATGAGGAAAAAGATCTAGCAATCAACTATCAATCTGCTATAAATTTTTACTCCGTGGGGCACTTATTGTTGTCCATATGCGTAACGCTTTGCCGCTCTGCGACACCCTAACGCCACATGTACACGTTTTTTTAAAGGTCAGTGGGCAACCGGTATCTCTGGATAATTTCGTGGAAGCACTGCTGCCTTCCCCTCACAGGAAGTTCTCCATTCATCTTATTAATAATGTTTGTTGATTTATATTATTCTGTACTTATTTCTTTAATTTATTTTTGGAAAATCTGCGTCAAATCGTGACAATAATAAAATGTCAATCGTCTTCGTTAATGTGTGTCGTCAATCGTCGTTTTATAGACCATTGAACCCAAGAGGACCTCTCTCGTATATCGAAATAACTACATCTTTTCCGTCGTTAAGATCACAAATTAACTGAATTTCGTAATAAGAAACCACTATTTTAGAAACAACAATTTTCTATGTTCAAAGCGGTTCCATTTTCTAAAACATACTTAATCCAAATACCTAATTATTTTTACGCGGCCTGCTTTACGAAAACTTATACGTGAGCCGCGAACTAGCACATAAACTAGGTGAAAAGTTTTGTCCCAAATCGTTCAAATGGACCACTAGACAGGGTACGATGTTAAGAATTTTTCTCAACCAAAACTTCACGTAGAACTTGACTCCAACAACGAAAATTATTGAAATTAACTCGTAACCAAGAAATTTAATGTTTCTTGACCCTGAATTTAAACCTCCCGCTCATGAAACTCAATGGTCAATGCGAGTCAAATCGCACACTAAACGTTACCATGGCAGTCTTTGCGATACAAAAATATGGCAACCTCAATCTTGACGCTTTGGCTCAGCTATAGCAAATTGTTTACACTTTGAACAGTAAAGGGAACAATGCTCAATTGAGAAGTCTGCCAAAACTGCTGTAGGGCGCGATTTGACTCACGTAGAGTATTGCGTTTCTCATGGCCGGGCAATTTAAATTTCCCGTAACCAATGTGAAATAAAAACGTTAATAACTCCGTTAGGAGTTGGTTTCAGTAATATTCGTTGCGCGAATCTTGTTGTACGTGAAATTTTGGTTAAGAAACATGTATCAAAATGCTTGAATTCGTACCTTGTCTACACCGAAAAAAATAGATCTACATATTTACACGGCTCCTGCACTTTCTTTGTTACAGCTACAGAGGTTTTCGTTACACTGAAAAAAAAATCTCGGTGTATTTACTAAGAAAAGGGTAAAATTACCAAGAATTCAGGGTTCTATTTGATCCCAGTTTTTTCTTGGTAAAATTACCATTTGTGGAGTTGGTGATTTTACCGAGAAATCTCGGTAAAATTATTGAACTTTCTCGGTAATTTTACTGGACCTTGGTAAAAACGCCAATATTTTTTATCGACTGTGGTAGAATTACCGAGATAAAATGGCAAAGTTACCGGGAATCGATTACCAATAAAAGTGGTATTCTTACCTGAGAAAAACAGTGAAAATACCGGTTTTTTAGGTAAGCTTACCAGTCTGTCTTGGTAAACTTACCAATAATTGGTAAAAAGAAGGGAGATGGTAAAGGTACCAACGGACCTTGGTAAAAACGCGGAGAATTTTTTTTTCAGTGTATGAGAACAGAGTACTCTGTCCTCACGACCGAAGTTCTGTTTTCATAACAGGAAAGTTTTGTAAGTATAACAAAGAAAGTGCGGGAGCTCTGTGAACTGAGGGTTCTGTCCTCAGCACCGACTATTTTTTTTGCGTGTAGTGCGGTCCATTTTGAAGTGTATAACAAACGTTTCAGCGCAAACTTTCGGCCCGACGCGTGACACCTCAAACGGGGTAGCTTGTAAGTCGCGGTCGTCCTTTTTTAAAGCGTCTCCTTTGGCGGCGTGGCATGGGTTCTCGGGAGATGGCTCTCGGGGAGGGGTGCGGGGGGGGGGGGGGCT